AAGCCCGCGCTGCCCGCTGCCTCACGGTCACCTTTTGGGGAGGACCCTCCCTTTCTCGGCCACTCGGCTTCTCTTCCCACTTGGGAAGGTCACGTGCTCACCTGCCTGGAGGGGGAGCTCTCAGGAGCACCCACTGTATAGAGGGCCTCTCGCTCCTGCTTTCCCTGCCGCTGTGTGCCCATGGGAAAGAAAGGCCAGCCTCTCGGGCGGCTCTGCCTGCCCACACTGAGTGATTAACAAGACATCAGCCCGGGGCCTGCACAGCGCATGGCTATGGCCCCTGTGAACGACCAGCGTGCCTGACATGCTGGGAGGTCAGGGGTCAAAAGGACCCACATGAAACAGCTGCGGTGAAGGAACCAGCCTCCTGTGAGCAGCTGGCATGACAGAGGCGGGATGCGTCCTGGAAATGTACTGCGACAGGCTTGGGAAGCTGCCGTCTAGAGCCAGTCTCCTGCCAGTCATTGCTCCTGCGCTGTAGCTGCCAACTCCCTTCACACAGATATTTACATTACGATTCATAACAGTAGCAAAGTTACAGGTATGAAGTAGCATCGAAAATAATTTTATGGTTGGGGGTCACCACAACATGAGGAACTGTATTAAAGGGTCGCGGCATTAGGAAGGTTGAGAACCACTGCATTGGATAGATCTGCTCTCTCCCAGGCCTGGCAGGGAGGCCTGATGTAGTAGGTGTCCTGTGGGACCCTGTGGCATGTTCTTCCTGGTCACCTGAGCCAAGTGCCCCAGGGGTATCCCTTGTGCGTTCCTGTTTATCTGTTTATTTATTTATTTATTTATTTTGAAGAGGGAGAGATAGAAACATCAATGATGAAAGAAAATTATCGATCGGCTGCCTCATGCACACCCCCACACTGGGGATCAAGCCTGCAACTTGGGCATGGGCCTTTGATTGGAATAGAACCTAGGACCCTTCAGTCCACAGGCCGACACTCTATCCACTTAGCCAAACCAGCCAGGGCTGCCCTCTTTTTTAGGTGAGTCTTATTGTTGGAACATCAGCAGATGGGTTTGACCCTCAGGCTTACTCATTTTGAGAATTGCCTACAACCAACAGTATCTGAGCTTCTGTGCAGGTGCTGGCCCATGGATCGGGATTCACCCATCGCTTGTGGTATGTTGCTTATGGAGCTAATTGGGTGGTGCTCTGTTTTGATCTAAAGCCAGCCACAAGGTGTGTTGGTTTGGGGCTGCTTGGGAGACTGGTGCAGGCCTGTGTCAGCAGCTGCCTGTGACTGACTTGGGGCCGCCTGGTAGGAGCTACAAAGTGACCCATGGTTGGTAATTGCTTGTTCTAGGCAGGGATGCATCTGAGAAAGGTCATGCTGCTAACCACAGCCACTACCACCAATACTGGGCCTGGGGGTAGGTGAGCAAAAGTCACAGGCCCTCCAGGACCTGCCATTGCCTGCCAAATCCCTTTAAGGCTCAGCCATTGAAGGATCCTTGGGGTTATGCAAGTTGGGTAAGGCAGGGTCCCAGGGAGTCACCAGGGTGGGGTGAGGGTTGTTCATCAGTTTAATGTTTAGATTTGGCACCAGAACTGAGACTGTGGTCCCTCAGCATAAGTCTCAGGATACACTGAGGCCAGCTGCCACCTGCCTCAGGCTTGTGGATTTTTGCAGTGTGGCAGGGTCTCAGGGAGTCATCCAGATGGAGCTAGTGAGGTTCACCAGGCTAATGTAGATTCGGATCTGGCTGGGGGAGGAGGGAAGGGCAATGTCAGCTATCTCTCCAGCCCTTACCCTGAAGACACACAACTCAGTTTCTCTACAGATGTCTCTGGTGCCCCTTGAGTTGCTGAATGCAGGGTGAGTGCCTGTAAGCTAGTCTGTTCAAGCATCCTTTATTTTTTTTATTTTTTTAAAAATATATTTTATTGATTTTGTACAGAGAGGAAGGGAGAGAGATACAGAGTTAGAAACATCGATGAGAGAGAGTCATCGATCAGCTGCCTCTTGCACACCCCCCACTGGGGATATGCCCGCAACCAAGGTACATGCCCTTGACCGGAATCGAACCCGGGACCTTTCAGTCCTCAAGCCGATGCTCTATCCATTGAGCCAAACCGGTTTCGGCTCAAGCATCCTTTAAAAGGATGCCTGGGGTTTTGTTTTTAGCAGCCTCCATCCAACCTGGACAGATGGAATCTCCGACCGGTTTTCACAGCCAGATGTTTTGGGGACTCTTCCCGGCACTGGTGTTCCAGGCCAGGGAGTGGAGCTGAGACCCCTTGCTCTTGCAGGGGACCTTTGCAGCTGAGGTAGCTTCTGTTTTCTCAAATGCCACGTGTGGGAGTGGGGCCAGCCCATTTTGTGTCTCCACCCCTTTTAACATTCTTGATGGGACTTCTTTATAATCTTAGTTATAAGACTTTTGTGCAGCTAGTCTGCAGATAGTTCTATAGGTTGACTGCTCTATAATTTAATAGTAATTTTTATGTGATCATGGCAGATGAATACAGTATCCATTGACTCAGCCATCTTCACCAGAACTCTCTGATAAAACTTTTTTGGTACGAAAAAAAGTCTTCTCCATATAGATGCTGAATTTTCATGTAATTTTAATTATTCTGTTTTTAAGTTTATTGAGTCTTTAGTTTTATCTCATTATTTAACAAATTCTTGCCTACTAAAGTCACATTGCATAGAATAGATGTATATACTTATATTTTCAAATTATGTATTTTATATCTGTGTATATATGTCTATATTTATTTTAAATGTTTTATTGATTTCAGAGAGGAAGATTATATATATCAATGATGAGAAAGAACCACTGATTGGCTGCCTCTTACATGCCTTACACTGGGGATCAAATCCACAACCCGGGCATGTGCCCTGACTGGGAATCGAACTAAGAACTGCTGGCGGCTCATAGGAAGATGCTCAACGACTGAGCCATGCCAGCTCAGTATTTATATTTATATATCTATATCTATATTTATATTTATATGTAGAAAACACAAACCCACCACCCACTGGCAGGAGCCTCAGTGTTTCCTTCACGTAATGACCTGATTGGATTTAATTACAGAGCCACCGGCTACAAGGGCCCGATGGGCATTACCATTGCTGCTACTAAACGCAGCACTTAATCTCCTTCTGGTTTTCAACATGGTAAGGTGTTCCTCCCACCTTTTTTCCCTTACAGCACGGAGCAGTGCCACTTAAAATCGGTCTGATACAATGGGTTCAGGGGCAGGCTGGACCTGCTGCCCCTATGTGTAGAAGAAGGAATGGTCTGTCCAGAAGAAGCTGCCGAGTTCCAGGAAGCCTGCATTAATGTTGCTTCTTTTTGAGACGAAGGACAGGGTATTAGATCACCACTGTCAGCCACTTAGAGACTTTGTTAAAAGTCTGAAGAAAGTTGGAAATTCTCTCACTCTGCTTTAAGGGATGACAGGGTACATCAAGCTGATTGATTGAATATTCCATTTTGGGGAGAGCCAAAACTGTCAAGTCTCGGGTTGGTGACCTAGGGTTTAGCACATACGATTCCATTATGGGCCTGTTGTCTAATAGTTAACAGTCCCTACATTCTATCAGGCAAGAGGCTTGGCTCGCTCAGGACCTTCTAGACACTGTAACAAGAATTTTTAAACTGCCTTATAACATGTAGACACAGCCCTTGGGATAGGCCATGTGTTCCCACCGTTTTTCAAACATTAACTCTTTTACACTCTCCAGGACCTCAGAGGGGTATGTTTTTATTATTGCCATGTGTCAAATGGCATACTAAGGCAAAACAACATGCTCTTACACCTGTAAATTACAATATTAATACCTCACAACTTCTGCAGACCGGGCATCTGGGCACGGTTGGGCTGGGTGCCTCTGCCCCAAGGTCTCTGTGAAGCAGGAAATATGTTTTCACTGAGGCTAGGAACAGATTCCCCACAAGATCACTCGTCTGGTTTGTGTCAGGATGCACGTTACACTGAGGAGAGCGCTAGCTTCTGCCTGTTGGCCTGGGCACTCCCTCACTTCTCTCCAAGAAGGTCTCTACATAGGGCAGCTCAAAACACGGGTGCTTGCTCTCCTACTTCCACAGATAAGACAGACAGACACAGATATATGTAGAGAAAATGAAGTAGAGGCTTAGAGGAAGGAAGGAAACTCAAGAATGACAGAGGAGTGACAGGACATGACACCCCATTACCGGGACTGTATTCTCAGCTGTTCAAAAGCCAGTTCCTAAGTACTCAGCGGGCACACAAGATGTTCCCACCAGGAGGCAGGAATCACTAGAAGCCACTGTGAAGGTTCCCACCTCATGGACTGACATGAGACACTGATTCTAAATTTAACAAGAGACCACTGGGAAGTTTTAGGTCAGTAAATGACAATATCTGGATTTCCTGTCATTTTAACCCCTTCCAGGTGCAGACATGAGGCCAAGATAGGCAGTGACTTCCCCAAGGTCACACACTGCGCCCCCTCACCCCCAGGCCTGGCATGTTTAGGTTGATGTTCCATGCTACAACCCACCTCTTCTTGTAATGCTTCCACTTCTATGTTTGTGTAGCAGATCCATGGGACACCAGCCCACAGGCTGTGACAGAGGCATTATCTCCTCCACACCTGATGAGGTCCTTAGCAAGTGGTGTCTAGCATCACTCTCACTGTGCAGGTAGGGAGACTGGGGCAGCTCTGGGAGGCACAAAGGCTTCCCCAGGGCACAGAACTCATAAGAAAAAAGTAGATATGACCTCAGCTTTCCCCTCCAAGCTGGGGGCCTGGGACACGCCCAGGGAACGGTGGGAAGGGCTGTGTTAGGTATAGGTGTACATGTGTGGAGACGACATGGGCCAGGAGGGGTAACGGTCAACAGCCCAGAGGGGGCTTTCGGTCGCTCTGATTGGAGGAAGGGTCCCAGGTCATGGAACCTTGAAAGGGTGACCTCACTTCCTCGGTGACAGAATCCCAACAGAAAAGATAAGTCTAGGTCACTTGACTGCAGACAGTCAGGAAAGGAGGATGTTTCTCTGTTGCTTCCCGACTTTGTGGCGAGGCTCTGGGCAGAAGAAAGCCCAGAGTGAGAGACATCTCTGTTGCTGTAGAGTCTGGCGCAAGCGCCGCCACAGGCACTGCTCGCCCTCTGGCAGGAGGCGACCTCAGGTAACCAAGGGCTGGCCCGTCCAGGCCAGGCCCCAACTGGGATCCCACCAGGCCAGCCCAGCCCCTGACCCCTCATCCTACATACCTGTGTTGGGCCTGGTGAGGGAAAGTGGAGGATGAAGGCCACTCATCCTGGGCAGGAGCTGGTTGTTGGTGGCTGGAAGCCTGATGGGTCTGTTATGTTCGTACCCAACTCATGGCTGGCTGGTGGGATGGAAATGTGAGTGCTGTGTACCAAACTCCTCACACATCTGTTAATCTTGAGCCCACAGGGTGTCATCTCATGCCTTCCCTGGCTGGAGGTCTATGCAGATGCCCCTCTGTGGGGTGCCCAGGCAGGCCACTGATGCCTCCTGGCCCGGCACCGGGCTCTGTCTTTGTAGAGCTCCAACGAGGATGCTGTAGAGGAGCTGGTTGAGGCATTTACTTATGCCGTCAACAAAGAACAAGAATGCCAGGCCAGGAACACCGTACAGTGCCAGGCTGAGGTGAGAGCTGTCCCACATACAGGACCGGAGATGACTGGGGCAGGACCAGAACCCAGACTCAAATCTGGGGCCCACTCCCAAAGACATCTCTCCCTCCAGTACTCCCATCCGGGCTCCTGGTAGGGTAGGAATACAGTCTTCACATATTTGTTGAAATGGTAAAGAAAAAAAAAAAATCCTGCTGTGTTTGCATTTGGCTCGTTATGATTGTCTAATTACCTGCCCTAGGTATCCTGTGGAGCAGTCAGCTTGACTGTCCTTGAACAATTTTCCCAACCCTTACACATCATCACACTCGATAGGGTGGTTTGTACAAAAATACAAGAAAGGAAAAAAGAAAAAAGCATGGGGAGGAATGAAGATATTGGACACATTTCTCTACAAACTATTGGAGGCCAGCCAGGCCAGGAGCTGTGGCCTTATCCACCAGCGTTTTGGTGGTGTTGGACCTTGACACGATTCAATCCTTCTGTCAGTTCAACAGAGCTGCTGGGAACATCCTCACTGTGTCCTAACAGAATGTATCAGTTTGCTAGGTCTGCCATAACAGGGGACCAAAGATGGAAGGTTCCAGATGCCTACTGGCTCAGTCCCCAGCTCTGTTTTTGCAGAACGTCAATGAGGACGTCATTGAGGAGGTGGTCCACGGGCCCCACTCTACCATCTACCGGGTCAGGGTGCAGGTGCACCAGGCCAACAACAGCAGCCAGTGCTGGTCTGAGGTGAGAAAAGGCCTGGGGGGCGGGGGGTTTAAACACCCAGGAACCCAAGATGATCAGGGAGAATCAAGAACCCAGACTCAAATCTGGGGACTCCCCTGAGACCCTCCCAAGGTGTTCCCACTAGAGTGTCCACAAGATCATGCATAAAGGATTCTGGACCTCCACTTCTCCTTCCAACTACATGGTAGGAGAGTGAGTCTCTCCTCACATAATTTAGGAATATTAGAGAAGAAAAGTATGTTGTTTCACTTCACAGTAGAACATGAGCACATTTGCATGTTGCTCTTTTGGTGGTTTGAATTACCTGACCTTGCTATCCGGTGGAGTGGTCAGCACAACTGTCTTTAGAGACCTTCTCAGAGCCTTACACATCACACTTGATTGGGTGGTGTGAACAAAAACTAGACACACTTCTGTGCAATTTGTCATCTCTCAGAGCACAGCAAACCATTGCAGGCTGGGCATGTCAGGAGTCGTGACCTCCTACATCTCCATATCACCTCAGGGAGGACATAGTTTTCCTCAGTGACTCAGCCTTTCAGTGCTGTTGGAACTTATGAACAATTCTGCTGCCAGGAATATCCTCAAGGCTGCCAGGAACACCCTCATTGAGTCCTAACAGACGGTCTGAGTTTTCAGGGCTGCTATAAGATAGAACCGCAGATTGGGTGGAGGGTTCCTAATGTTTACTGGCCCGGGCCGGGCTCTGTCTCTGCAGAGCTCCAAAGAGGACGCTGTGGAAGAGCTCAATGGTGGGTTCAACTCTTCTATCTCCCTAGACAAGGGGAAGGTGTGTCAGGCCATGGACACCATCCAGTGCAAGACTGAGGTAAGACCTGGCCCAGGGGTGGTTGAGGAAAAGGCGTGTGTCCTCTCACCCACCACCCTGAGATGACCTAGCAGTGCTCTAAACCCAGAATCAAATCAGAGGACTCCCCAGGGATCCTTCCAGGGCTTCTCCGAGATCAATGATTCTCAACCTTCATAATACCGTGATCCTTTAATATAGTTCCTCCGCCGGTCTTAGGCGACCTTGCTAGCAAAATTACAGTTATGAAGTAGCAATGAAAATAACTTTATGCTTGGGGGTCACCACAACATGAGGAACTGTATTAAAGGCTCACGGCATTAGAAAGGTTGAGAACCACTGCCCTAGAATGTCCCACAGTCAAATGCACAAAGGAATCTAGAGCTCCACTGCTCTCTCCAGCTATACAAGAGGACACTCCACAAATATCTGCAGGAATACTAGAAAAAAATACGTTGTTTCATTTCACAGTACACCACGAGCACATTTACATTTTCCTTTTTGTGTCGTTTAAACTATCTGCCCCAGGTATCCTGTCCTTGCAGACCTCCAATCACAAAGGCCCTCTGCCCTGCCATGCAGACTTTTAGTGCTGTGGAGCAGTGGCATAATTCAATTCAGTCACCACACCAGCAGTGCTGCGAGAAACACTTAAAGTCTGTCCAAATATACTGTATAAGTTTCCTCGTGCTGCTATAACATCAAACCACATTGGTTAGTATACAGCAGACATTCTTTTTCTCACAATTCCAGAGGCTACAGGGTAGAGATGAGGGTGTCACCAGGGCCAGTTCCTCCTGAGGGGGCCTCTCCCGGGCTTGTAGATGGATGTCTTCTATCTCTGTGCCACAAGAAGTCCCCTCTTTGCTTCCACATATCCTCCCCTTCGCTTCTACGTACACTAGTCATATTGGATTAAGACCAAGACCACTGAATTCCCTTTTACCTGAATGGCTTGCTTAGAGACTAGAACTCAAGGACAGGCACATTCTCAAGTTCTAGTGGTTCCAAAGTCATGAAATTTGGGTGACACAATTCACACCACAATGGATATACTATTCCCAGCTGGAGACAGATGCCCGGTCCTGATGGAAGAGCTGCAGCCTGATTACAAATGGAAAAGGCTGGAGCAGCGATATTGCCAACATCAGTTTTGTGATGATGGCCGCTGACTAGCACCCAATCTGGCCCAGGGATCTCTCACTCCTTTAAATTTTGACCAACCCAAGACCAGGTTGTTCAAGGCAATCACAGTGTTCCTTGACTGGCAATTGCCTCATGGGTACTTCGACTCACCTGTCAGCTTTCTGCTAGCCACATGGATTAGCTACTTCCTGAGTCATGTGCTCGCACTCCAACTTTCTCCAGTCTGGACTCATCAAGCCTTTGCTCCTTCCCTGAATCTGGGATCTCCATAATGAGGGTTCAAAAACGTCCTTTAAAGGAAAAGGAAGAAACATAAATGTCATTTTGGGAGACAATGGTTTTCATAGGCTGGGTCTATCCTATAACCTGTCCTCCAACTTGGAGGGGATGAGGTTCCCAAGGCCCTTTCCATCCAGGTCAGGAGCAGAGAAGTCTCAGGCAGCTAAGAGGGAATGTCATGCAGTCCTAGCTTGGGACAGTTCTCAGTTCTAACCAGCATGCCCTGAAGCTGCCATTTGACATCCCTAAGCCTCTGGGTTCTCATCTCTATATAACAGATATTTCTAGAGAACTCATTGGAAGCTAAAACGACATGCCTAGAAGGTAACAATTATATAAATATCCCCTGTCCACCAAACTTAAGTGGTACCTTTAAAACCTAGAACCTGGTTCAGTGTGGCCACTCCTGTCCTTCCTCTTGCACACGTCCGTAAGGGTCTGAGAGTTCCTGCCTGAGCTCCAGACCTCATCCTCCTCATGATTCATAGAGATACCACTGACGGATTCCTCCTTGCCCCACCCAGTGTGCAGCTGAATTAGCACGTAACCTGACTGAGGCTAACAGGATGCGGGCCCTACAGGAAGGCACACTGAGGAAGGTGGCAGCATCAATGGTACCAGCTCTCCCGGGTAGAAACATCTCCCGCACATCCACCCACCCGACCTTATCCAGAGCCCAAGAGTTCCTGGACCTGCTGCTTACTGGGTGAGCACACTCCTCCTTCTTGGGCATAGTGGTGATTCTGAGCACTGCTAGCTCTGTGTCTTACAAAGGTCACCACATTTCTGTGAGCCTCAGTATGCTCTTCCGAAAAGTGGGGTAGGGGTAGAGGATAAACCTCATAAGGTTCTTGCAGAGATTACTGTAGGGATGAGCCATGGCAGGTTCTAACCTGCTGCCTGGCTCTGCTGAAAGGGCTGCTGGATGGGCTATGGTTGTTCATGGCTATTATTTCTGTCCCCCATGAAAAGTCATCTGCCTGACCAATCAGTAGCCTGTGGCATTTCTGTTTTTTCATTTTATTTTATTCTGTTAGTTTTTATGTTTTCCTTGGCCTGTGACATTTCTGAGTTTGCAACAGCACATGGAAAACAACCAGTCAAGGAGTTCAGAACTCCACTTAGCTGATCCCTGTCCTCACCGTTGGTGTTGGCAGACTAGAGAGAGCAGGGGGCCGCAGGCCCACTCATATATCTGGGATACTTTTCGTTGGAGTTCATGTATTCAACAATGTGTATTAAGTACCTACCACAAGTAGGTACTTTTGGAGACACTTAGCATAACTCAGAGAATGAAGGAGACACAATCCCTGGGCCCCAGTTCCACTTAGTGAGTCAGACAGTATCCCCAACCTATCAGATCTGATGCCATCAAGGTCTTCTTCACATCTAGAGGCACACCTCCTCATAATGACTAGGGTGACACAGCACAGGACCAAGTCAAAAAGCAAGTGGTCTTTGGGTCCAGAAGGAAGGCCTCCTGAGTCCACAGGATGAAGGCAATGGGTGGGGAGGGCCTAGCAGAACCATGATCTTACACATCTTCTCATTCCCAAGGGAGGCCTGGGCCCTGATGGCTTCTATTCTGGGAGGACAGGGGTCCAAGAGGACTGTGGATGGGCCCCTGGCCTCACAGGACCTAAGAAAAGGCTGAGTTGTCTCCCAGAGCCCCAAGCCCACCACAGTCCCATCCTGCTCTGCCTGCCTCTCTCCGCAGTCATCTGTCCTAGCACCAGGCTCCAAACGGCCTGCTCACACATCTGTCTCAGCCCTCAGTGCAGATGCCCAGGTGTAGGAAGGGCTGGGCTGGGCAGGGGACTGGACATTCAGGAGAACTGTCAGTGGGAAGAAAAGACTCACACAGATGCCGTGAGAAGGTTGCTTACCAGGCTGCTGCTCTCAGAACAGCCACTAAGGGATTGGGCTGGCATGGGGCTGTCCCCTAAAGGGGCAGGCACAAAGGTCTGGTCCCAAACAAGGTGCCCTGGAAGGGCAGTGCACAAGCAAAGACCAGGATTCTGACTCCACTGCCTACCTGCCTCTCCCCAGAGCCATGGCTTCTACGGTGGGAACCTGGCCTGACCAGGTGCAGGGTTTTGGCCGGGCTCTCCGCTTCCCCTGGTTCCAGCTGAAGCAGGCCAACTTCCCTGCCCCACACCACACGGACTACAACCACCTCCTTTGGATGGAGCTGGCGCAGCTAGAGCCCACCGAGGCCAAGCCGAAAGGTGAGGGGAACGCAGTCTGAGAAGATGGCCTGGGGCGGGGAGAATCATGGGCCGCAGGGCCCTTACAGGCAGTGCATCTTTCCTGTCTTTGGCAAGGCACAAGAACATGAGGTCTGTGTCTGAGTCTGTCCGTTTTCCCTGCTCAGGACCACCGCCCGGGCTCCAGAGCACTCCAGAGCCAGAGGAAGGGCCCGCTCAGGTGCCAGCGGCTGCTCCTGCCAGAGGCCCCTCCCTAGCCTGGCCTGGCATGAAGCTGCACTCGAAGTCGTCATGGAGGCGTCTTTTTGAATCTTATTTTTTTCTGTCTTAAAAATTCTAAGAAATTATCCTATATATATAGACAAATAAGAGGAATACACCCCAACAGTATATGTATAATAGCCAAAAACAAGTTTCCATTAAATGAACTATATACCATTAAATGAAACACTTTGGAAACAATAGAAATAAAGTTGTTGATTAAAAATATCTGTAGACAATACCTGCTCATATACATATGCATACTATGATTGTGTATTTATTATGTGTAACCATTATAAATATAGAAGTAAACATTTTTAAATCACTTCTAAAATAGATTTAAATTTTGTGATAAGTAAACAATATAAACTGATAAAATGGGAGAAATAAAATTTGGAAATGTATGCAACAGAATGTCAACACTTGTGAACTCTTGCAAGAGGGATTACTAGAAGTGACTGTCTTCCCTTTTTGCTCAATCTATTTTCTGGTTTTTGTACAAGGATCATATATTCATTACCAGACATTTCAAGACTATTTATATAGATGACACTTTAAGAGTCTTTGAATTATCTTACCAGTATCAATAATATCTTTCTAAATTTTCCCATCTGCTGTTTGAAATCTTGAAATGATCTCATCAAAAGCAACACTAACTTGATGAGCTACGTTCTATTTCCCTCAGTGTTTATTAATAGTCTGATTTGCTCTCTGAACACTGAGAGCCACTAGGCTGGCTAATAACATTTAAAATCACTGGGGATGATAAGAGCATTGCTTTGGTTGTAACTGAAATCATTCAGAAGTACTCTCTCCACTAAACACTTTCTTAATCGTTTTATGTTTCCTTCTTGAGCCCAGAATTGAACATACCAGTCAAATTCAATGGAATAGGCAATGGTTGCACTAGGACAGGATGGTATGAAAACAAGGAAAACCTTCCCAGGCCTACCTGAAAGGCCACAGTTCACTTCACAACTAAAACAACCTACCATTAAAATTAAACCCAACATGTCAACAATTTTTTGGCAAAAAAAAAGGGGGGGGGGGGAATGTGATCTGTAGCAATTATTTCACAAAGAAAGCTTGCTGTGTGAGATGAAGCCACATCACGTCAATCCATACAAACATGTGGCTGAATCACCTATAGGCGGTCATTCTCATGTTAATACTCTTGCTTTGAGGGGAGACACTAGCTTTTAATTTCTATTTGGTTTGAATGAAAACCAGCTGGTCTATAAACCAAGCCAATACTCCTCAGGTATGCACCAAGGGAAACCTAAAGGTCGACACTAACTGAATTTTAAGTTTTACTTCATTTTAGTTCATGTTAATTTAATTTTGAAAAGTTTTATGTAGCTAGTGGTAACCATATTGGGGAGAGTAAAGATACCAGCAAATAGATTGAAAACAGGCATCCCTGGATGTCAGGATACCTTTCCTCCACACAGAAGACATTTACAGGACTATTAGCGCCCATCCTATAAACAGGAAGACCACTTTCTCACGGCCATTCCCTTACTCGTCCTCGTCCTCGTGGGCAGAGGCAACCTCCTTCAGTTTGATGTCCTCACAGTGGAGAGACCTGTGGTCACGGGCTCGTGAAAGAAAGTCTGAGATGATTTCCATGACAATATTTTCCTCCTTGAGAAAAAGAATAATAATATAGAGAAGACTTTATTTAAAATCGCTAGGGATTTTGAAGCTAGGTGCTGTGCCACCTTCCTGTTGCTGGCAGCTATATTGTGACCATGAATGAATAGTGAAGGGAATGAGCAGCTGAACTCAATCCTAGATCCATCCACCTGTGGGTTTGTTACTTTGTAAGAAAAACAAATCCCTTCTGGGTTAGACACTTTCATCAGGATTCCCTTGTTTAAAATCCAAAGCTTCCGAAATGAATGAGATCCTTACAACTCCTGAATATGGGCAAGGTTGTGTCATTCCTTGGTATTGCAAGAAATAGGTAAATGTGGGAGCAGGGAGGATGATAGAGGAAAGATGGGAGATGTTTAGAAGCAGTATCTGCAGACCTCCACCGGCTTCACAGGAAAGTGAAGAGAAGACCTCTCTGCAGCCCAGGATTCATCCGTTTCCCTTTGTTGGTAGGGACACCAGAGGACTCGTCCCCTCCAGCCCCACTCAACTCCAGACACACCACCTGGCAGCACTCACAGTGCATCTATTGTGGCGCAGACAAGGCTCTTTAGAAAGCTGGCTCCAAGTAGATCCCACATCAAAACGGCCTTGAAGGAGCCGAAAGTAACCCAGGGAAAATGCTCGCCCTCCCCCCTCACGCAGCCCACGCCCCTCCAGGAACCAGGGGGCCCCAGCGGAGCCCAGCATCGCCCAGCCCGGAGTTGCTCACCACTGGTCCTTGTTAGTGTCTGCGAGCACCCAGAGGTGGCAAGTGAGAACCCAGGACTTCCAAACTGTTCCCGCCACTTCCAGAGGCCGCGCCCCCACCGCCACGGTAGTGGGGCCAGGACCCGCCCATGGAGGGCGCAGAAAAGCACCGGGCGCCGCTCCCTCCGCCAGCCATCCATCCCGGGTATTTCGAAGCGTCTGGTCTTCAAGCACACCGCTCTCCCCGCCGCGGTCCTTCCTGGGAAATGTAGTTCTGTGGGTTCCGTGGCCCGACGCCAGCGCCCCGGCCTGGACTACCAGCCCCACAATGCTCCGCGACGGGCGTGCAAATCCCTGCTGTACAGCCTGGTGTGGTTAAGCGGAGTAACTTCAGTTGGGTGAATCCTTCAGGTTTTCCTGCTTGGGCGGAGGGGGTGTTCCACCTGACCTATTGTTTTTCCCAGCAGTGACAGTGTGGCTGTGGACGAGACCTTAGGCAGGGCAGTCACTCTTCTGGAGACGTCCGCTTGGAAGTGACCTCTCTAGCCTCAGTCCCAAGAGAAACGCACACGGAACCCCAGTGCCCCATGGAGTCTCCCTAGACCTGCGGAAGCCCAGGACCACCAAGTTCAGACCCCCCTGCCCTAAACGTTGTCTTCCACTTTGCGGTGCTGGGTGGCCTGCTTCCTCGGGATGGAGCCTGGTCCCACGCCTACCAGTGTGCTCTGCAGAGACCCTACAATTCTTGTTGCCTGCAAGAATTTTCACTGAACTTAAAGGCTTTCTCTTTTCTTCTCTGTAAGGTGTCTTACTGTAGGTGTGCTGCAAGAATTTTAAAACGTACAGTACCTGACTATTGAGTCAGGGGCACTACTTTCCCCTTAGATTGTCAAATAAATAAAAGAAATCACAACAGCTGCCTGGCCTTTATTGGTCCATGGTTAGAGTGGTCATCCTGTGCACCAAAGGGTCCTGGGTTTAATTCCTACTCAGAGCCCAGACATGAGGCAACCAATTGATGTTCCTCCCTCTCTCCTCAATGCCTTCTTCCACTTTACCCCTCTACCCCATAATCACCACACTGCTGTCCATGTTCATGAGGGTTTTTTTTTTACTCTACCTCCCTGCCTCCACCAGAACTATCTGCCTGCTTTCTATGAGTTTGTCTCTATCTCACTTGGTAGTTCAGTTTGTACCCTCTCCATCACAATTTATCTCGCTCTATTCACTCAATTGTCTCATTCAAAAGACTGCAAGCCCTTGGTGGCAGAGACCATCTTTTTCTTATAGAACTAGAGGCCTGGTGCAGGAAAATTTGTGCACTGGAGGGGGGGTCCCTCAGCCCATCCTGCCCTCTCTCACAATCCAGGAGCCCTCAGGGGATGTCCCCGCTGCGGGAGGCAACCAGGCTGATGAGGGGAAGGTGTTGCTCCCATCACCAGCTACTGCTGCCACTGCCAGCTGCCACAGCTACTGGCCCTACCCCCCACCCACTGGGGCCAGGCCGGCTGGGGGAAGGGCTGTGGAAGGTTGAGGCACAGCAGGTTGCACCCCATCCAGCCTCTGCAGAGGTGTGGTGCCTGTACCACACCACGCTGCTGCCTCTGTGGCTGCTTCTGCAGAAGGGGCAGCAATGGGACTGGACCCGCCACAGCCTGTCCTGAACCACCTCTACAAAAGGGAGCGTGGTGCTGGCACCAAACCTGTCCACCCCTCCCATGTGGCGCCGGCCCTAGGCCTTCGTAGCAGCTGTGGCTTTGTCTGGATGGATGTCCGGTGGACTCCAGAAGATGTCTGCCCTAATTAGCATATTACCCTTTTATTAGTGTAGATGCATTAGAGGCCCAGTGCATAAATTTCGTGCACAGGTATGGTCCCTAGCGGCTGCAGGCCAGGGGCGTCTCCCTTTCTCCAGCCACCTGCTGCCACCACTGGCCCCGCCCTCTGGTTGAATTCCTGGTTGAACTCCCAGTGGAGGGAACAATTTGCACATTAGGGTTTTATTATATAGAATAGTACCTGGCTCAATATTTTGGGAGTTAGCACTGTTCTACAGAATTCTACCTGTCTGTGCCTCTGTTTTTTCATTCTATCCATCCTGCAATCATTTCTCATTCCAGCCCTCACTTAACCCTTCTCCTTAGGTCTGCCAGTGATGCCCAGTGATTTTCATGGATGTTCTGAAATTCCACTGGTAACTCTTGGGGCTGAGGACTATGTTGACCCTTGGAATGGTATGAGCATCATGTTCCTATGACACTTTTTATTTGCATATTTTTTAATAATAGTGCCAAACACCATGCTAAAGGCTTTGCAGATGCTGTCATACTTAATTCTAACAACTCCAAGAAGTAGATACTTTTATCCCCATTACATAGATGATGCATGAAAGAAGTCCTCATTTAGCTAAGGTCCCACTGCTCATATGTGAAGCTGGAATGCAAACTTTCAGTGACTCCAGGGCCAAACTTGGATCTCATAGAATCACCCAGATGGAGATTTATTAACACACCCCATGCTACAACCAATATAGTCCTAAACTTTGACTTGTATAAATCTTTCTCTTTCAAGTCACAATAGCAATGAACCTTGAGACAAAATAGATAACAAGGCGGGGAAAATTATAAATGAGGAAGTACTGAATAAAGGGAAATATAGTTTCTTTTTTAAAAATATGTTTTTTAAATTGATTTGAGAGGGAGAGAGGGAGAGAGGGAGAGAGGAAGAGGGAGAGAGAGAGAAAGAAACCTTGATGTGAGAAACACTGACCATCTGCCTCCTAAATATCCCCTACTGGGGACTAAGACTGCAACACAGGTATGTGCACTGACAGGGAATGGAACCAGCACTCTTTAGGTGCATGGGACAGCTCTCAACCATTTTGATTGGAATACAGATGTGGTCCAGTCTCTATTCTCATGTAGTGAATCTTACATTCAGGTGGATAAATTGAACCAGAGAATATAACATACTCAATAGATAAAGTGATGCCAGAAGACCTCACAGAGGAGTAAAACTGGTCTGACTCAACCCCAGAAGGCCACGACCATAAGCAGCTAAATATATCTTGGTGTCCCCTGCCCTTGGGTTAGAGCACTTCCTACCCGGAAGGAAGTCATAAGACCATTCCCTATAATGAATTCACCATTGCCAGACAATCTTAACAGCACTAAAGTTATTCTTCTTTAAACAAACAGCAGAACTCCTCTGTGCTGCAATCTGGACCATAGATGTTTGTAGGGTAGTTCTTTATCAACTTTATTTCTTCTATGAATATCTGCCTGTATTCCATGTATTCAGAAGTCTTTTTTGTTAAATTATATTTCCTGGAAAATTGTCCATTATTCCAGGTTCTCATCAAAACTTGGATTGCATAGGCATCTGAAATGTTAAAATGTTAAAATGTTAACAAATTAACTCTAGTTTCTGCTCCAGCCACATATTTCTCCCACCCCAAGTTTTCCCTATCTGTCTAAATGGCATCACCACCCATCCAATTGCTAAAAGACAGAAATCTAGGAGTCATCCTTATTTCTCCTTCCTTCACTGATTCTTTCCATCTATCAGTAATTTATTAATTTTAGCTCCAAAATTCTAGCACCTCTAAAACCTTCCCCTTTTCTATTCTTCCTCTTGCCCTCTATTCTTTACTTCCCCAATCAATTCTCAACACAGTAGCTAGAATGTTCTTCTTAAAATATAAATCATATTATATTACCCTCAGCCTCAATGCTTTTGCTCCAAACTCATCCAAATTTTCCTTCACCTTCAGTATAAAAGTCAACTCAACAAGGGCAATGAGGCCTTCCCTCACTCATTGAGAGTTGACCATGTTCCCAACTTCATTTCAAATAACTGTTTCTTATACCACTGTGAGCCGAGATGTTCCTCAAAGATGTCAAGTTCTCCCACACCCAATTTGGTTGCTTTAAACTGTTCCCAAGTCACTTAAATGGAAGTATCCATTTCAAAGGTTTCTTTCTTAGGATACTTTACACTATTACTCTCTGCCAAAACACCCTGTTAATAACCCTCAAAGCATTTAGTAAACTTGCAATTATTTTTGTTTACTTGTCTTTTTTTCTGTATTCCTTCAGGGAAATTGTTTTTAATGGAGTGGGAGCATGTCTATGTGATAGCCATTGTATTTCCATGTTTTGCATAATGCTTGGCAGCAGAGCAAGCACTCAATTGTAAATGTTCAGTGAATGAATGACCCAGATCCAAGGGGATAGTAGCTAAATATTGTGAAAGAGGAGAAAGCTCAGTGAAGAGCTGTAATACGGACAACATATCTTTCAGTGTTTGCTTTCCCCACTCCAGTACACATCATCTGGACAAAGCCAGTCTTGTACCTACCCCAGGAATGTGGTAATAAAACTGGACACTGGCTTTCTTCAGGAAGGCTGAATTTCATTAAGCCTGGAAGAAATTAGTCCATCTCATTATATTCACATTAGGCAATTAAAAATAGGAATATAGACACTATGTATATACATAAGCATAGAGTTATTTCACAGATTGTTATCTATGTTGGCTGAGTCAATGGCCAATCTAGGATACTGACATAAGAAATTACTATTTAACTTGATTCTATTGTATGCATCTCCTGCCAATATCACTAAACCACACATATGCAGATGTACTTCATGACCACAACTCAAATCACTGAATCCCAATCTCTTTGTAGCCCCGTGCTAGGGGCTGAAATAATCTAGTCTGAGAAATGTTCTTATCTCCTTAGAAAATTATGTAAGGCCAACATGAATGTGTCAATGTAACAAAGGGACAGACACTGGACACTGACCAGATCCAGATACTGGATATCAACCACACTAATCAACTCCTCTAAATCTCATGGCGCTCCAAGCGTTTAGCCCAGAGCCTGGCACCCTGTCAGCATCAGTGTGAGCAAAGAGCATCACCATCCCCTCTCACAGGCAAGCCACAGGGCAGTTTCCTTGGGTGTTTGGAAGAAAGTAGAACAAATGTAAAACCCAAAGGGATGTATATTTAGAAGCAGTTTTGCTCTTTGAGGTATTCTAAATGTCTGTTATCAAGGGAGATGAATGTAAATAGAAATTAGCATCCTACAATGTAATCTGTATGAACTAGAGAGGCAGTTATCTAAAATCTGGCTTCAGTCAAATAAGTGACTGCCCCAGGTTTCAGAAGACTAGGGGGCATAATCTTCTCTAATGCTTATCATAGTGTTGCTTTATGTTAGCATTTCTCAAAGTGTGAATGTTTGGAATGCTAAAGGGACCCACCTCCTTTCCTTGGGGACCTCTAAGAAAACTAAGCTTCCAAAGGTTCTGTGAGGTCAAAATGTATTTTGGAAAATGGTAATAATAATAATAAGACATCATTTGCTTTTTCTTTCTTACTCGCTCATGAATATACAGTTGAATTTTCCAGAGGCTGCAGGACATGATATAACAACAGACTGAATTCAGAAGCAGACATGAGAATGCAACTGTCTTCTATTAGACCAGACATTAAAGAAATTTGCAAAACCCTAAAAAAGTGCTATTCTTCTCACATTTCCTGCTTTCAAAAATCTGCTTATTTTTCATAAAAATCTGTTACTTATATAAATATGTACAGATTTATTTGTTATTTTTAACATATGTTTTTTAAATCCCAGTCTCAATTTTCAAAAAATATATTTATTTGATTGATTTCAGAGAGAAATGGAGAGGAAGGGGGAGAGAGAAATATCAGTGATGAGGGAGAATCATTGATTGGCAGTCTCCTGCATGCCCCATGCTGGGGATCAAGTCTGCAACCCTGACATATGGCCTGACCAGACAGAGAATCAAACCATGACCTCCTGATTCATAGGTCAATGCTCAACCACTGACCCATGCCGGCTGGGCCCAGTTTTAATTTTTAGTATGGAAATTTTTCACAGATATAACCCATAAATGAAAAGCTTTTGGGAGATCCTCAATAAATTTTAAAAGTTTAAGCCTCTCTTGGGTCCTTGCTTTAGAGAAGACCAAGAAAAGAAGGAACAATGATCATGCCAAAAAAAAAAAAAAAAAGGCCATGGCCATGTGCAGCCTATTCATTGTACCAACTGTGCCCAATGTGTGCCCAATGACAAGGCCATTAAGACATTCCTCATTCGAAGCCCAGCTAGTATGGCTCAGTGGTTGAACGTTGACCTATGAATGAGAAGGTCCCGATTTGATTCCTGGTCAGGGACATGCCTAGGTTTCTGGCTTGATCTTCAGTGGGGGGCATGCAAGAGGCAGCTGATCAACAATTCTCTCTCATCATTGATGTTTCTCTTCCTCTCCCTCTCCCTTTCTGAAATAAATTTTAAGAATGTTTCCTCATTCAAAGCACAGTTGAGGTCTCAGCCACAGCCATTAAGGCTATTTCCAAAGTGAATCTCCTCACCACCTAAGTGCTTCCCAAGCTATATGTGAAACCCTAGCACCGTGTGAGTTGTGCCATTCATGGCAAGGTGGTCAGGAGTCCTTCTCCTAAAGCTGAGTAGGACCGATCACCCTCACCCCAATTTAGACCTGCAGGTGCCACGCCATGACCTCCACCAAAGTCCATGTCCTTAAAGACTAAAATAAAGTTCTCTGGGGGAAAAATGGAAGTTATACTTTAATTTTTTTTTTTTTAAGTTTAAGAGGTCCTAATTCCAAGAAGTCTGAGAACCATTCAAAAGCTGGGCACTCAGTGAAGAGGTTCTAAAAGCATATATCCTTTAATCACGTATGAAGATACATGGAGAGCCATGTGTGTGGAAAGCATTTTGAAAACCTATGGTCTGTACTGTCATTATTATTGTGCTAAATGGAATAACGGAGGAGGGGTAACTCAGATTTCTAACGTGTCGTTTGAATAATATATGGTGCAAGCAGGATACTGTCCATCCTAAAACCATCTGACTTAGATTTCTGTGACAGAGCTGGTTCTCGACTGGCAGACACAGCTGTAGCCACTGCAAGTTTACCCAGGGATCTCTCCTATCGTTCAGGCAGGAGAAAACACTAGACTTCCTCCCAGGCAGAAGCACTGCCCTCCCCACATGCAGCTGGAGGGGACTGCCGAGAGACAGAAGCCGCAGCCGCAGGATGTGAGGAGGATACACCCACTTGTCCTCTATGTGTGTGCTCTTTACCAAATCGATTGTACCAAGAATACAATTCCGTATACAACTAAAAATCAACTGTTTACTCCCAAATCTAAATATTTTGCTCAAAATCTACTCACTTTAATTTTTTTAAATATTGCTTAAAATAAATCAACTTGGATTAAAAAACCACTGTAATGTGAATGACCCTGTTTCTGCTTTTCAAAATTTACGCTTCTAGGTGGCTGTCCCAAGCCACACTCTGCGCAGAGCACCACAGAGAGGCTGGTTTAACAAGCAGCAGCTACGCGGCTCCTGTGTGAGGCTTTACCAACATCAACCCCCACTACCTCACTCTTCACCTAAGATACTTCTAGAAAGAATATTAAAAATATATATATATACCTCAGCATTTGCCGATCACAGAATGATTTCAGATCAACAGCCTGTTTCCCCCAAAACTCCTAAAATTGAACAAAAAGTATCTTTAAGCAGTAAGCTGTTATCCCACCCCGGAATAAATTTTTGTAAGGCACAGAGAACATTGTAAACACAAAGAACTTACCAGAACATCCTTCTCGAGGCATTTCAGAGCCTGCATATCCTTCTCAAGGCTGGTCAACTCTCGAAGAACAAAACTGTTAAACTGTTCTAGTTTATTCAGCCTGGTAAAGGGGAAAGCAACAAATCTCACTGAACTGCTTGGCTGTGGCAAAGTCCCTCTTAATCCTCTCCCTGCAAGAATACGTCATGTTTGCCAAAACCAGTTTGACTCAGTGGATAGAGTGTCAGTCTGTGGACTGAAAGGTCACAGGTTTGATTCCCGTCAAGGGCATGTACATTGGTTGCAGGCACATCCCTGGTAGGGGGTGTGCAGGAGGCAGCTGGTTGATGTTTCTAGCTCCCTCTCCCTCTCCCTTCCTCTCTGTAAAAAAAAAAATTAATAATATATATATATTAAAAAAAAAAAGAATATGTCATGTTCTCTAGACAGTTCTTGTTTTAAGAATACATGCCTCTCTTCCCTCTCCTCCTGCCTGCCTATCCTCACTCTAAAACATACTATGCAAACTTTGGTTTAGCCTTTCAACAGGAGCCGGAGGAACTTGGTATTTCAAATCATACTTTGCAGAGCAAAGGAGAGAGGACGCAGGGAAAGGGGGCCACCAGGCCTGGGCCAGCAGCAGCCACTGTACCACTGACCATGGCTCCCGTGCTTCCTACCTTCCACTTGCTCCTGAAATTGGCTAATTTGTTTTTCATCTCTATGTTTTCGTTTTGAAATTTCTAACAGTCATTATTCTGTGTCTAACCACCATCTGAACTGCTTATTTGTTCACTCGCTTCTTGTGTGTCTTCTCCTCCATCAGGTGGGAGGCCTGTGAAGGCAGGCTGCCCTACAGTTTGCTCTCCCTGCATGTGGCATGGAGCACAGAACCCGGCACCCAGCGAGCACTGCTGTGTGCATTTGCTGAACAACAGGATGAGTATAGCCGTGCCATGTGGCTCAGTTGCTCGGGTATCATCCTATGCACCAATAAGATCACAGCTTCTATTCCTACGTAGGGCACAGGGCACGTTCCCAGGTTGCTGGTCTCCATCCCCAGTAGGGGGGCGTGTAGAGGCAGCTGATCCATGTTCTGCTTTCACTTCGCCGTTTCTTTTTCTCCCTCTCCCTTCCTTCTCTCTAAAAAGCAATAAAACTGTATTTTTTTGAATGAGTACATGAATGCCCCTTAAAAGATGATGGAAGTTCCAAGAGTCTGAAGTCCCTCGTGGGCTTGTTTTGAGACTCAAATGACAGTGCATGTATAAATGTTTGAAAAAATTTGTAAATTTCTATTTGTGTTATATATTCTGCCCTAAGAAACTTTCTACTTCAGTTAAGCAAACCAGCCTGCCATCACTTTCTTCCCCACCTTCACTTACCGGCCACTCTCTCCAACAGGAACCATCTCTATACGCACCTTCCCTACACTGTTCAAATCTCTGTTTCCAAATCCTCACTCCAGAGGCACTTCCACTGTAATCACTCTGGATCAACTCCAGTCACTATAGACACCCATCCCTCCGCTCACACGTCTTGTCCTTCACATCTGTCTGAAATCTCAGCTCCTTTTTACTTTTTGCCACATGTGACAAGGGTCTGTGTGTGCATGAGTGTGTAGTATTTTTTTATTGTGGCAAAATATACATAACATAAAATTGACCCTTTTGATTATTTTAAGTATATCATTCAATAATGCTAGGACATTCACAATGTTGTGTAACCATCACCACTCTCCATTTCCAGAATTTTTCTATCATCTCAAATAGAAACTCTTTATTGATTAAACAATAACTACCCATTTCCCACTCCCCCAATCTCTGGTAACCTCTATTCCACTTTATGTCTCTATAAATTTGCCTATTCTAGGTACTTCATATAAGTGGAATCATACAATAATTGTCCTTTTATGTATTTCACTTAAAATAATGTCTTCAAGATTCATCTATGTTGTAACTTATATTAGAATTCCATTCCTTTTTTAAGTTGAATATCCCACTGTATGTCTATACCACATATGATTTATCCAGCATTTTACATGCTTGCTATCTTCACAGTTGGATTATGGACTTTTTAAGAATAGTATTTTAGAACCATATAATAGTACCATAAAGAGGTTTAAGGAGGGCCTTCAGTTCAGCCCCTCATCTTATGAAGAACCAGACACATAGAAAAGTTAAGCAATGTATCAAACCTCACATCTTTCCCCTCCAACTCCTCACGACCCAGCACAGTGGTTATGAGACAAACATTGTGAGCAATCACACTTTTATAAACTTGTTTTGAAAGCTAATACTTACCTACAGTGATGTATCTGGTTTAAAAGTTTTATTAGACAATTCGGTGCTTGCTTTGCATATTCTGAATAAAGTGCACTCCTTCTGTACCTAAGCTAAACCATAATAACAATACAAGATCACATTTGGGTTAACCATACCTATACCAGTACAGGATTTGTATTAAAAAGATTTTGACAGCACACAACATACATAGCAAACATTACTGCTAACAAACAGTGATAAGGTGCAATGCTCACACCTCCCATGTTCTACTGCAGGGCCGGTACCAATACAGCACAATAAGCTAAAATAGAAAAACTTGTACACATATTCAATATCATGTACAACTTTCCATTATAAATTAGCTTATAGAATATTGTAGAAAATAAGACTTTGGAGATCTTCCAACTTAGTTAAATGGATGTATGTTAATGTAAGTCAGTTCTCTCAATGTGCTATTAAATAACTCTAGGGATATACAAAAATGGGACAAGAAAGAGAAGACTAAAGTGGTCCCAACGTTCATCTGGCAGGTACAGTTCTGGGACAGCCTCCCACAGCCTAACTCCATCTTTGTTCCAGACACCTCTCTTATTCACATGCCTTCTCCCCCTCCTCCTTGTCCCTCATTGTGACAAAATCATTGCTTCCTGATAGTTTGGTTGTCTGAGAATTACATCAATGACATCTAACTATGAGTACAATTTCCACATAGCCCTTCTGGTCCCATGGCAGCAAATGCACATGAAGTAGCTCTCTTAAAATACAAACCACACTTCACCAAGACTCTGAAGTCAGGGGCCACAGCTAAGACAGACTCAGGAATACTTGCACACATGAAATATAATGATATTAATAAATAATATGGCCAAAACCGGTTTGGCTCAGTGGATAGAGCGTCGACTTGCGGACTGGAGGGTCCCAGGTTCAATTCCACTCAAGGACGTGTACCTTGCTTACAGGCACATCCCCATGTGGGGTGTGCAGGAGGCAGCTGATAGATGTTTCTCTCTCATCAATGTTTCTGGCTCTCTGTCCCTCTCTCTTCCTCTCTGTAAAAAATCAATAAAATATAGTTTTAAAAAATCTGATGTTTCCTTGCTTTATACAATGTAAGTTGACTTGCAATTAAATAATAATAATAATAATAATAATAAATATGAACCTGTTACTTTAAACTCCTAACAAGCTAGCTTTTCATTGTCAGTGGGCCATTACCTCACATTTTCTTTCCAGTTCTCTAGTAAAGTTCTCAAAGGTTGTGATGACAGCAGAGCTATTCACGTGCTCTGGCACAATGGCCAGGGATGGAGTAGAAATATTTTCTGAACAATAAAAACAGAACATTAAGTAAAATTAACTAAGTGCGAAGTAGATGTGCTCAGCCCATCAGCTGCCCAGAGGATGGAGTGAGGCGGAAGCCCACCTCCCATCCACGAAGCCCTTGGCTGCCGGGCTTGACTGCAGAGGGCTGACTCTGGCCGATGCTGGCAAGGCCAACTCAAGCCGAGTCCCCACAGCAGGCATTTCATGCTGCTTCTTACCAAACCTCCTTCTCCAGCAAGTGCCCACTTCATCCAAACTTTACATCAGTGCCCTGATATGTCTGAGAAGCAGGCTGAGATGCGATGAGTTTTAAGGAGGCCGTGATAGATAGGGCATTTCTATGAGGGAAACGCTGGCATAACAATTCTGGGTGCCAGAAGTTTCCTGAGAGCACATGAGGGGTCTGGCATCATCCTAAGAGATTTGCATGTGTCAGTTCCTTTAATCCTCATAAAAAAAAAAAAAAACCCAGAGAGATCAGACACCTTGTGCAAGCTCACACCGGCTGCTTCAGGACTGGAAGCCAGGCTGCCTGGTCTTCACCACCCGCAGTACCTCTGGCTCCCAAAGCTGCCTTTTTGGGGCCTTGTGTTTCAAAATATAGAGGCATCACTCATCCAGAAGGCCTTTCCCCCAAATGCAGACATTTCAGACCCACCTCCTTCACTAATACGGAGTGAATGTATCCACCACAGAAACGTAGTTAATAACTACCAACTAAAGCAGAAACCTAGACGTTGAGGAATGCCTGGACCCTGGAGACTAACGAGTTAAAAGGCAGAAGTCTAAAGGCTAGAGGGAGATGCACTGGCTTTTATCTGTAATTTGTGCAGCCATTTATATGTCTCTGAAAGGACAGAATGCTTTGTTTTTAGGGCTCTGCAGCTGCTATGGTCTTCAAACTGTAACTCCTTGGTCATTCGTGTTGGTACTTTCAGTGCTTATACTTGCTCACATTCCTGCTTGACTGGCTGGATGCATAACGTTACCTGCCAACTGTGCTTCTTCCGTCATGGAGGAAGAGGATCCTGGAGCATCATCTTCTTCCAATTTTGACTGTTTCCACTTAGCAAAACTACCATCTGACGTGTCTAAAGGCAAGCACAGTACATTAACAACCAAACACACACATTATTTTTATCCCAAGTTTATCTTGTCCTCTTTTTGACAGTTAGTATCTTACCTTGACGAGCAGTAAGTGAAACTTCTTCCCTGTTACTAATTACTTACTATTTGGCACATTTAACAAGTATCAAAGCACTAAGTCTACTGATACCTAAAGACGACATGGGAACAGGCCTCCCCTTGATGAGTTCTGTAATATTAGGAATATGTACATACTGACTCAAACAAAAAGCAGTAAGTATTGGCATAAAAAATACTGCTCCCCTCCATGTCTGCAAAACAAACAAAACAAAACAAAAAAACAACAAACATTTCGCAGGCTCAAGGCTAAATGGCAAGGTAGCAAAGTTCCCTTCCCGGCGAATGGGCTTTGGAAGCTTGTCTAGCACCCTGCGGAATGCGCCACCTGCTGGTAACACTGGAGCTTCAAGGTTGTACTGAGGGCTGCCTTATAAATGAGGTCATTTTGGCTCCTCACTAGCTTGAGACTTTGAGAGCCTCAGCTTATGAGCCTTAAACATATATTGTCTTTTTAATTGGGCATTTACTAAATATGTTCTACTCTGATATTCACTTGCACCCCATCCAGGCCTTCCTGATCCTATCAAAGACAGCGTTCAGCCTGACTCCTGCTTCTCTTTACTGTCTACTTCTCTCCCATCATCAGGTTCTGAGGTCCTGTCTATAGAATGAATTCATGTCTCTTTCTACATTCCCACACCGTGACTCTGGAGGATCTCATCAATCCCATTCCTTCAACTGTCATCTCCCAAATACCCTTCTTGACTGAGCTCTCTTAAGCAGCAAACTAGTGTTTCCAATTGCCTACTCAACAGCTCCACCTTGAACCCACTCCTTCCTGTCCTTCCTCACCTTAACCACTTTCTTCTCCACCATATACTTAGCCCCTACACACACACTTCCCTGCAAAGTCATCTGCGTTCCCCCCCTCTCCTCACATATCCAGCTTAATCACTATTGATTTTCCCTCTGAAAGTTCTAGAATCTAATTTAATTAACTTGCATAATAAATAATTGAATGTTACTATTGCAAAGTTTTACAGTATGGTGGGAAGACAGTAGAGAAGCAAAGAGGCAAGTTCCTCATTCTCCACTCTGCTCCTCTACCCTGGTCTCCTTGCGGTTCCTCAGACACCCAGACACATTCTCACCTAAAGATCTTTGCACTTGTTCCTCTAATTTGAGTCATTCTCTCCCCTACCCCCATCATATCTGCATTAAGGTTTCCTCTGGCCATTCAACCTAAAATTTCAATACCAACCCCAGCTTCTAAACCTCTTTCCTAATTTTTTCTTAGCTTTTATCTAAATATAACATTTTAATACCACTCCTAATTATGAATCTCCTTCCTTGGTTTTTTTCTTAGCCTTTACCACAATATAATACACTACATGTTCTACTTTTCTTGTATATTATGTCTCCCCCATTAGAAGGTAAGCTCCAATGAGGCCAGGCATTATTTCTTTTTGCTCTCTAGAATATCTAACATGTGGAATATCTAACATAGCAGACATTCAGTAGACATTCATAAAGTAAAGGAATGCCTGAATGCTGCAGAATATCCAAGCCACTATGAAATAAGATCTTGACTAAGAAATGACATCTTGACTTCTGGCCAAGAAGGTGATGTAGGTTAATATGGTTCTCACATCCTCCCACACCACATCAAAATTACAACTAAACTACAAAATCATCACTCAAAACATGCTGAAAATGGACTGAATGGAAGTCCTACAACTAAGGAATTAAAGAAAAAGCCACATAAAGGTTGGTAGAAGAGGCAAAGATGCAGAATGAGCTGGTCCTAAAGCCACACGTGTTGGATTCCATAAAAATTGGGAGGGATGTCTTGGCTGTGGATGACGACCCTGAGGAACAAAGGTTCCAACCCCACACAAGGCCTTCTATGTCAGGATTTTAGTAAGAGAAAGAGAAGTTCTCATAACTTCTGGCTGTAAAAAACAGCAGAGATTAAGGCTGAGTGAGATGGAGGCTGCTGGAGTCCCAGGCAGTACCTCCTGTGAGGTTGGCTTGTACCTTCTAGAAAATCCCTGAGCCAGTACCCCTAATAGATAGTCTCAGACCTTGTTGAAGCATCACCACCCAAGCACCCCTACAAGTAACTCAGTCACCCAGCATAGGGAATATAGCCAATAATAATCTAATAACTTTATATGGTGTCAGATGGGTGTTAGTTTATCAGGATGATCACTTAGTAAGTTATGTAATGTCTAATCACTGAAGGTATACACCTGAAACTAATATAATAATGTACATACCATGTAATTAAAAAATAAAAATGATTTAATAAAAGGACATCTTATTTCCTAGAACAGAATCTTAATAAAAGATAATTTATTCTAGCTATCTCTTATTACCAATAAAAAAATTGAGGAATATAAAAATCTTTAGAGACCCATATGCTTGCTACATAAATTATAAATAAAAATTAATAAAGTTTAGCATTTTAAGACCTACTAAAACTATCTTTTGGGAGAAATTGTAAATACACAGTAGGAAATACCCATCATAGACTTCAAGATGACAAAAGGAAAAGAATTTTGCTGTTAAAATAATGCTAAATAGAGAATATTGTTAAAATAATTGTATACCAAGTATACACTGAGTGGCCAGATTATTATGATCTCTGAATGCATAATAATCTGGCCACTCAGTGTATATCCTATCTAATAAAGAAGGAATATGCTAATTGACCCTAACACTATTGCAAAGATGGAAGCACCCACAGCCAATAAGGAGGGAATATGCTAATTGACTGCCACACCCTTAAATATGGCAGCGCTCACAACCACAGATGGCAGCTCCCAGTCCCCTCAGCCCCGCCCAGGGCAGCAGATGTGTGGCAAGGCTGGGCCCACCCCCAGGCACACCTGCCTCTGGAATCCTCAACCCCTTCACCGCCCCCCCCCAGCCTCTAAGGGCCAGCCCAAGGCTCAGGCAAACCTCAGATGGCGGCTGCCCAGCCACCCAGGGCCACCTAAGGCTCAGGTAACAAGGGCTGGCCGAGGCTTACACTGTTGGCAATGGCAACAGCAGAGGTATGATGGGGGCATCACCTTCCCCTGATCGCCGGGTCACCTCCTGCCCCTGAGGGGTCCCGGACTGTGAGAGGGGACAGGCCAGGCTCAGGGAGCACCCCCTCCCCTCCAGTGCATGAATTTTCATGCACCAGGCCTCTAGACCTATATAATAAAAGGCTAATATGCAAATTGTCCCCTCAACCAGGAGTTTGACCAGCAGGCAGGTCGGCCAACTGCCCATGTCCCCTCTCCCTGCCAGGCTGGCTAGACCACACCCAAGCACAAATTCATGCAGCAAGCCTCTAAATACACACACACACACACACACACACACACTGAGTGGCCAGATTATTACGCGTTCAGAGATCATAATAATCTGGCCACTCAGTGTATAAATAAAATGATCAATGAATGATGACATTCATGGTTTGCTATAATAAAATCTTCATAAACTGAAAACTTCATTAAAGATCACATTCCTTCTGCAGAACCTGGAAAAGAAAAAGGTCATATCCAGCTTCTCTGTAAAAAATAATAATAATAAAAAAAATTTTAAAAATTAAAAAAAAATTTAAATTAAATCCGAAGAGCCAAAACCGGTTTGGCTCAGCGGTAGAGCATCGGTCTGCGGACTGAAAGGTCCCAGGTTCGATTCCGGTCAAGGGCATGTACGTTGGTTGTGGGCACATCCCCGGTAGGGGGTGTGCAGGAGGCAGCTGGTCGATGTTTCTCTCTCATCGATGTTTCTAGCTCTCTATTTCTCTCCCTTCCTCTCTGTAAAAAATCAATAAAATATATTTAAATTAAATCCTAAGAAATACTCTAACTTTCCACTCTCAAATACTCTCAACTCCCATAGGAGCCAATATCTCTTCTCTTTGCTCTTAGATTTACAAGAAATGTTCCCTAAAAAAATAAATTAAAAAAATAAAAAACCTAAAAGAGTTCATCACCATGCTGAGAGATTGACAGCTGCATGCTTATTTGGTGTCATTATGTGCCTGACAATGTGGTAAGCTGCAAAACGGTAAAAGTGAGAGGAAAAAAATATCCCTGTGGAAAATATTCATTTGTTTGAAAAATATAGATGAATATTTTCTAGAGGGTGCATTGTTTCAAGGGTAAATGATGTTTGAAAGGAAATAATTCAGCCCTGGCCAGGTGGCTCAGTTGATTGGAGCGTCTTCCCGGATACCAAAAGGTTCAATTCCCTGTCAGGGTACACACCTAGGCTGTGGGTTCAATCCCCAGTGAGGAGGCAATCGATAAATGTTTCTCTCTCACATCAATGTTTATCTGATGCAATTTGGATAATATCACAGCCCGCCAAATCTGATTAGTTTTGCTTTCTCTAATTCCGCAAAAAGAGTTTAGTATTCTCTCACCTCTGTCTTCCAGGTTTTCCAGTTTATGTTTGAGGTTAGCACTTTTCATCAATGAGTCTTCATTTACAGTCTTGAAAAAAGGCAAGCAGACCACAAATACATGTACACATTTGTTTCCAAATAAAACACAAATGATGTTACATTATCCTTTAAGAAGAAATAAGCCAGTACATTATGCAACTATAATTCTGGGAAACCCAACGATTAAATAGTACCTCAGATACATTCTGTTCAACTTCTGAATGCTCCGGTGAAGAGATACTGCTCAGGGGGTGGGGGCTCGCAAGTGCTGAGTATCAGAGAGAACAGTTTCAAAGGAATGAACACACTATGACGCAACTTCAGGCTCTAACATTTCACTATCCCTCTACATCGTAAATCTCACCATCAAAAAAGATGGGACGCAGTACTAACTGAGAGAAAGAAAAACTCCAAACTTTGTGTCTTTCATGGCATACATGATCACTGGCTCAGGAATTCACCTGAGAGGCCCTCGGATGTGCTATAGATAAAATGAATAGCCTGTTCCTTCGATTAGACCAGCACTTTTAATAGACGTTCTCTGGCCCCAAATTCATGGGCCAGGATTCCACTGCCTCAACTCTGTGATCCCTCTCCTTCTCTGTCTTAGTTCCACACCCCTATGTCCTCTTAGTCTCTACTGCTAATTTTCCTCTCTCCTTGTTTCTTTCCCTTCCTTCTTTTCTGCCAGTGGCAGCCAAGCTGAAAGGTTGTCATTTGCCTTTCTTGGTGCCATTATGTGCCTGGCAATGCGGAAAGTAACCTGCAGAATGATGAAGGTGAGAGAAATAAAACCCCTACTCTTACAAGTTTAAAAGATGCAGATAGTTTCAATTAAATACAGTGGTGGTTAAGATAAACCCAATAGGTCAAGGGCTGGCAAACTCTGGCCCCTTATGCTGCTTCTGCTGCCTGGTTTTATAAATAAAGTTTTATGGAATCACAGCTATGCCCATTGGCTTACATCTTCCCTCTGGCTGATTTTGTGCTGCAACCTTAGAATTAAATAGTTGCAGCAGAAACTATAGGGGCCAAAAAGAAAAAAATATTCACTATCCAGTTCTTTACCAAAAAAGTTGACCACTCCCTGCTAGCAAGTCATCATCTGAGTTTCTTATTTCTTTAAAAGAGAACAAAGCATTCATTTTACACAAGCAGATCTCAACTGTTAAAGTAATATTACAACTTAATCATCCTCTATCTTTTGCCAATGAGAATATTAAAGAGAAGAACAGCATATTTTCACCTTTTAACAGACAGTAAAAAGAAAACCATTTTATTTATTTCAAACTACCTTTCCCAGAATATGATTGTGTTCTTGGTAACTCAGCCGAAATCAGGTACCTGTTTTCTGGGAAGAGGTTTCAGGAGTTACATGTGCAGAACTGCCCTGAAATTTTGTTTCAGAAATTTTTGGATGTATGGCATCATTTTGCCTGGAGGCATCTTTCCATAATGGTGTTAAATGTATAGCCTAAAATGTAATACATTTTAGAACTGTTAACATTCATAACCACTCAAGACAAGTTATCAAAAAATTCTAAGACATTTCCAATATTCTTTTTAAAAGTTTAAGTATTGGTTTTGCTTCATTTGAAACCCCAAGACTATAAGATCCCAGAGTTGGAGCACATTAGGTCATATGTCAATTGATAATTCTAAATAAACAATCACTCAAAGTTCTCAAGATGTGGTCCCAGCCTACAGCATCAGCAACACCTGGGAACCTGATGGAAATGCAAATTCTCAAGCCCCATCTACTCAATCAGACACTCTGGGAATGAAACCCAGCAACCTGCACGTTAACAAACCCTCCTGGTCATTCTGATGACTGCTCAAGTTAACCACTGCTCTAAATCAGGTTTTGGTAAATAACATTTTATTTGAACACAACATACCCATTTGTTTCAGTTTTGTCCATAACTCCTTCATGTTACAATGCAGAATTGAATAGTTGCCACAGACACCATATGGCCCATAGAGTTGGAAATATTTACTCCCTGGATGTTTGCAGAAAAAGTTTGCTGACCCCTACTCTAAAGTATTCTCTTATGCTCCAACACAAAAAAGTGAATGTTGAATACCAATATTTGTACAAAGTCAGCAATGCCCTCACTGAAAGTCAGCATAGACTTCTCATCACTTGCCCAGCTGCAATTCAATGGATTCTCAGGGCTTTGACGTTTCTTTGGTGCTTATTTAAAACATCAGATATATTTACTAAACACTGTTCTCTGGGTCTATTTCTGATAACTCGTTATTTCAGGTTGAATAAATATGTGGGTACTTACTCTGGCTCACAGGTTTAATCTGTCAGAGAGGACTGGAGAGGCCCTCAGATGCACTGTGGGCAGCACTCCCCTGGCTAAAGGAGGAAGGCAGGAGGGCAGATAGCTAGTTACGACTGGAGCACTAACTACAAGGCTGAGGATGCCCTCAGAATCCCAGCAGCCAGACCTGATGGTTCTCACTTAACAAAAAACAAAAGCCAGCTGCTGAGAGAGGGGATTCAGCTAAAATTAGGCTTTGCATTGGTCTGGAGGATACCGGTGTTCCTACTCTTAACTACTTTTCTATAAAACAAGGCAGTTGAAGGAAATTAAGAAAGTTTGAGGATTTATTCAATATTTACATAACCGTGAAGGCATTTCAACCACTTGCAAAATAAAGGTTTAAATGTCTAAATCGTTAAAAAAGCTTTCGAAGTATCAACAAAACTGAATACTACGGGGAAATTAAACCAAGAACTTTATTTTTAAAAGTAAACTCAAAAGAGCACACATGTGCAGTAAATCAGAACAGCCCAGATTTTAAGCACTATTATAATCTTTCAGCAACATCTGGGAACAATGAAAAAAGATCCTAAGTTTTTATCCAAGGTCATACTAAATGTTTCGAAGTCCTTGTAGTTTCTACAGGCAGTGGATTATAACCACTGCTTTTTTTTTTTTTTTTTTTTTTTTTTTTTTTTTTTAGAAATAAATACAGTTTAGCCCTAAGCAGATCTACCTGTGCCATGCTGATGCCACAGGGCACAAGGCAGCCCAGGTAAAATGGACTTACTTGGTCTTTATAACTGTCTCTGGCCGGACTGGGGGGGAAAAGCGGCAAGACTAAAACGAAAGGAAAAGGTGTACAAGTGGATAAATTTGCTTATGAGAAATATAAAAACTCATGTATCCCTCTCTCAATTATGCACGTCCAGGCGAGAAGCAGTTCCTGTTTCCTACGACTGGCTCAGATGCCTGTCTCTTAAGATCCCTTTCTGATGATTCAATGTTGTTCCTCACCAGCCAGCACAAATTCTGGGCTCCAGATCATGTCCCTGAATGTGTTCCTCAGTCCTGTGGTCCTCAGTCTGTCCTTGAACAGTTACCTAACTTAGAATGCTCCCCCTTCTGCACACCTATTCTTTTTCCAAGGATGAGCTAAGGCCCCACCCACGTCTGCCCTGGAGCTTTTCCTGAAGATTCCAGCTCTGTCAGATTCCTCTTATCTGAACTCCCACTCCTCTTATCTTCAGCTCAGATTTAACATTATGGCCCCTTCCATGTTTTTGTATTGTTTCACACACGTACATTTTGCCTTTTCAATGTAATTGAGCAGGAAAGGAGAATCCAGGATCACACATCTCGTTGGCACCCTCTCTCATCACATACTGAGAAATAAACACCTGTTGATTTACTTGAAAAATGACTCAAAAGAAGACAGGCACCAAACTTACTTTTTAAGCTACTTCTGGTTCTTGTCCTTTTCCCACCAGGATATGGTTTCAGGGATTTCCTGTCTTGGTTAATGGCCCAAGATAGCACAGTAGCACTAGAACTTGAATCTCGATTACTCTCCGAGAAGAGGTGTTTCCTATAATTGAACTTCTACAAACACAGATAGTAAGTGAACCCTATTAAAAGGTTGTCAGTACCCATTATGTACAATTAAACATCCCACTACAAAGTTAGACAAAAGAGGAGTAACAGCGACTCTTACATAATAAAAAGGCACCAAAGTAGGAGGGGAAGAAGAAACAGATGATTTCATTAGTCAATTCTCAACCAAGCAGCTCTTGTAAAGGATAACAAAATCCTCTCCAGTCAGAAATTGCAACTGAAGAGATGCAAAGTAGCTGTTTAAAAGTTGATGCACCTCAATATCATGTCAACACGATAATTTCAAAATAATACCGGAAACAGCAAAAGAAAGTGTAACAATGATTTTTTGGAGACATGCCTGTCTACATTTTAGAGGAACCAAAATAAAAATAAGAGGATTATTTCTATTTAAACCTTAAAGCCTTTAAAGTTGAGCACACCCTTACTGGTGTGGCTCAGTAATTAGTGTTGACCCATGCACTGAAGGATCACAGTTTTGATTCCTTGGGGCAATAGATTGATGTTTCTCACATCAATGTTTCCCTCTCCCTCTCTCTACAATCAGTGAAAAACAAATCCTTGAGTGGAGATAAAAAAAAAAAAAAGAAAGAAAGAAAGAAAGAAAGAAAGAAAGAAAGAAAGAAAGAAAGAAAGAAATTGAGCCTGAACTGGAAAGGTTAGAGATTTAAGGACAATTTAATCTGTTCTGGTAGATTACTCAACTCTACAATGATACTTAAATATATATATTTTTTAATTTTCTATTTTTGGATTCATTTTTAGAAATACAGAAACAAAGAAATTTTAACATGAAGTATGTTTTGACTTTAATAAAATACATCTCTATTTGAGCCCTGTCTCCTGGGCCCTCTGGAGGCCCGTTCTGGTGCTGCCATGCCTCTCTCCACAGGGGCTCCACCACTCAGCTCCTAACAGCTCGCTCCCATCTCAGGCCAGGGAGCATGCTCATGAATCCCAAAGTATTAATGGTGGCAGTACCTCCCATGCTCTTCTCGATTTGACTCATGTCAGCTGGAGGACCCACCCTGTGCCTGAAATGGCAAAGCGTACAAGCAGCCTAGGGTGGGAAGCAGTGTCACCCTTGTTTACAGTAATACAACTATAACCTTTAAGGTGGGTGATGGTGAACTATTTTCCAAGTGAGTTGATTTTTGAAGGCTCAACTTAAAATGTTGAGCAGTTCACCTTTTTTGTAGAGAAGCTCAGGTGTGAAAGGGACTCTGTGAGCCAGGCCTGTCGGCATCTTCCTTTTGTGAGAAAAGTAAAAAAGGTGTGCAGAACCCCCACATTGGCTCCAGAGCTGCTCAGCCAGTGTCTTGTAAAGGAGCAAGCATCACTTCACTGACTGCACCCAACCAAAAACCAGCAAGGTTTTCCCACATTCAGTTTTATAATGGGGGCTGAAGCCCTAGCCAGTTTTGCTCAGTGGACAGAACATAGGCCTTCGGACTGAAGAGACCAGAGTTCAATTCCAGTCAAGGGGACATACTTGAGTTGTGTGCTAGATGGTTAATAGGTGTGCAGGAAGCAGCTAATCGATGATTTTTCTCTCATCATTTATGTTTCTATTCCCTCTCCCTTCCTCTCTGAACTCAATTTTTTAAATGTTTGTGTGTGTGTGTGTGTGTGTGTGTGTGTGTGTGTGTGTGTACACATACTTAACTTTCAGGGGGCTAAAAGTTATTTTTAAAGTGCAAGTACCCACAGCAGCTGTTTTTCAAGTTGGCTCATATTAGAGTCACTAGGAGGGGGCTTTGAAATAAATCCCGATGCCTGAGCTCTCCTCTGGACCAACTAAGTCAGAACCATCAGGCTGTGGATTTTGAATCAGCTCCCCTGATGATTCCAACTAGAAGATGGGCAGTGGAAAGTGAGAGCCATTGCTAAAAGCCAGCCAGGAAGAGCCTTAACTCTTTGTTTGAAACTCATGGTCTCAAGTTTCTAAAGTTTTCATTTAATATTAATTATATATATTTTAATGCTGTGACTACAGATTTAGAGTGCCGACCATCGCAAAGTGGGAGACAAGCCAGAGAGGTGTAACCTGGTGCCCCAAGAAACAAAACCAGGCCACCGACTCAGAGCAAAACATTTCTTTCACTTCAGTACCACGTCCGCTTCCATTCAGGATAAATCTCAAGTGTCAGTGGGTCTTGAACTCTTCTCTTCTACTTATCTTTTCTTTAAAAGCAAGAACGGGCTTTAGCCTCAAAGCCTGATACAAGTAAGAGTACAGTTTGAAATGATAACTGTTATTTCTATTATATTTGTTTGGAGCCTTATTATTTGTTATAGCTCATGCTGATTTTCCATTTGGAAGTGAAATAATTCCCTTTAAAATAAGTTTAAGATCAATTTAATAGAGAAAAATAGAGGTGAAGAGCAGAGCTATAATGGATTTTGAAGATGGTATGCAAATAACTAACATGTGAGAGGTAATGCCTCCAAACAATAGAAGTTATTAATACTTCATTACCGACATTCTTCTTTTTTGCTTTCTGGCACTCTTCAAAATAGATTCTTTCCTAAAACAAAATATATCAAATCAATGGAACTGTATAACCATCACCTTCTCCTTCCCTCCTTTCACAGCCCTAACTTTTCCCCTGCTCACCCGCATATACCCTTTGTCTGACATGAGCCCTGTGCATGGGAAGCACCATAACCTGTAGAGAACTTATCTCATAATCCATTTCCACAGATCCTCTGCCTGACAACAACCAGTTATTTGAAACACAACAAACCTTTGTGGAACCCTTCTCTGTCAGGCTTTCAAAGGGGAAGGCAGGGGAGGACCCTCAGATAAGCATCCAGCTTTGGCAAAGCTTCAGAGCAGTCCTTCATGCCTGGATCTGTCTTAGAATCCCCTGGAGTGCTAAAAAGATAGCTTTCGCCCTGGCCAGTGTGTGTTAGTGGTTAGAGCATTGTTTCATGGACCAAAGGGTCTTGAGTTTAATTCCCAGTCAAAGACATGTACCTGGATTGGAGGTTTGATCCCTAGTCCTAGTTGGGGTGCATGTGAGAGACAACCAAGCAATATGTCTTTCCTATTTGAGAAATCTCTCTCTCTCTCTCTCTCTCTCTCTCTCTCATTTTTTCTCCTTCCCTCCCTCCCTGTTTATCTCCCTCCCTCTATCCACCCATCCATCATCCCTTCCTTCCTCCCTTATACTCTAAAAAATAAAAAATAAAATCAACAAAAAAATATCCTTGGATAAGGATAAACAACAATAAAATCTAAGTGTTGTTGAAGATGTGGAAAAATTAGAACCCTTGCATAATTCATGGGAATGTAAACTGGTGTAGGCGCTATAGAAAACAGTATGGCATTTTAAAAAACAAATTAAAAATAGGACTATTATATGATCCAGCAATCCCATATATCCAATGGAATTGTATTCATGATCTTGAAGAAATATCTTCACTCCCATGTTCAATGCAGCATTTTTTACAATAGCCAAGATATGGAAAACAATCTAAATGTTCATAGATAATGAATGGATAAACAAAATGTGATCTATATATACAATGGAATATTCATCAGCCTTAAAAAGTAAGGAAACTCTGCGATGTGCAACAACATGGATGAACTTGAATGACATTATGCTAAGTGAAATAAGCCAGTCACAGAAGGACAAATACTGTATGATTCCACTTACACAAGGTGTCTAAAAGTCAAACTCAGTCCTGGGTAAGTGGCTCAGTTGGTTGGAGCATCATCCCACACACCAAAAGGTTGTGAGTTCAATTTCTGGTCAGGGCACATACCAAGATTGAGAGTTGGATACCCAGGCAGGGCATGTACAGGAGGCAACTGATCTATGTTTCTCTCTCACATCAGTGTTCCTCTTTCTCTCTCTCTCTCTCTCTCTCTCTCTCTCTCTCTCTCTCTCTCTCTCTCTCTCTCTCTCTCCTTTCCATCTTTCTCTAAAATCAATAAAACATATCCTTGGGTGAGAAAATAAATAAATAAATAAATAAATAAATAAATAAATAAATAAATAAGTCACCTCACAGAAAGGGTGAATAGAATGGTGAGTTCCAAGGGCTGAGGGGAGGAGGAAATGCAAAATTGCTATTCAACAAATATAAAGTTTCAATTACACAAACAAATGAGTTCTAGAGATTTGTTGTATAATAATGTGACTACAGTTAACAATATTGTATTGAGCACATACAACTTTGTTAAGAGGCTCATGTTAAGTATTCTTATCACAATAAAAAGGGGACCAATGAACCCCTATTTCCAGGCAATCATTAATCTACTTTCTGTTTCTAGAGATTAGTTTGCATTTTTTAGTATTTTATGTAAATGGAATCATACCATATTTACTCTTTTTTTGTCTGACTTCTTTGACTTGGTATTATGTGGAGATTCATTCATGTTGCCTATATTAATAGTTAATTTCTTTTTATTTCTGAGTACTATTCCACTGTATGGACATAACAAAATTTGTTTATCCATTCATATATTGATGTACATTTGGATGGTTTCTAGTTTGGATTTGTTACAAATTAAGGAAATGCAAATTAAAACCACATGAAATACCACTACACTTCCATTGCAATGGCAAGATAAGGAAGACGTTACCAATTAGCACAAAAATGTCTAGCATCTAGAACTCTCGAAAATTGTTGGTGGGGATGTAAAATGCTACAACCACTTTGGAAAACAATTTGACAGTATTTTTTTTTTAATTATCATATACCAGCAATGATCCAACCATTCCACTCCATCCCAAGAGAAAAGAAAGCATGTGTCCATGCAAAGACTTATTCATGAACCCTAAGGACCTTACTTGTAACAATAAAAAACTGGAAACAACTCAAATGTCAATCAACAGGTGAATGGATAAACAGCTTGCAGTATACCCACCCATATAATGGAATACTACCAGGCAACACAGAAGAATGAACAGCTGACACATACAACATGGATGAATCTCAAAATAATTACACTTAAAAAAAGGAAGCTAGAAAGACAGCTTCTGTTTGATTCCATTTCTATATGATTTTTAAAACAGCAAACTTATATGTCACAGAAAATAGATCAGTGATTTTAGTGGGAGGAGGAGGCGTATAAAGAAGGGCAGGAGAGAGGGAGTTCAAAGGGCCAGGAAGAAATTTTTGGTGATGATTAGTCATTATCTGCTTGTAGTCATGGTTCCTGGGTATAGACATATGTCAAAACTCATTAAATTATACACTTAACATATGTAGTTTAATTCATTATAATTATGTCTCAAACCATAAAAAAATCACTTATCTTATTATCTATTCTTCAGAGGCCTATAAGAAAAGTGGCCAATTAATGCCAATGATATATATTTTCTGATTGGGGATATTCAATGTTTTGCTGCAGAAAAATACAACATGAAAGAAAGCACTGTGGATATAATAGTAGAGACCTATAGGTCAGGAGAACGTTCCACCTCTACTTAAATCATTCTACAAGAACTCCACACAGCGCTCTCTCCTTTTGTGGGGCGTGGCCAGGTTCAGGAAAGAGGATTACCTAGACTATTGACTTGTGCATTAACTAGTCACATTAACAGCAGTCTTCATAATTTGTTAGTTTTGAAAATCATTTACCTGGATTTATCTTTTAATTTAGGAACCAGAATGTTTCCTGATTGCTCTTGTAAATCTGAAGAATATTCATGTTTTGAAGTAACTTCTAATGGGAATTAAAAACAAAAACAAAATGTTTCTCAATTAAATATTTAAATATAAAGTACCATTCAAGTCTTATTTATGATAGATTTAAAAAATCTGACCTTGTTGTACATCTCTCAGTTTAAAATTTTCAGCTGAATTTTCAGCTATCTTAGTTTGCTGCAGAAAAAAATATGTGTTTAATTATAGTGTCTCTTTTTTTTTTTTTTTTTTTTTTTTTTTTTTTTTAAATATATTTTATTGATTTTTCACAGAGAGGAAGAGAGGGGGATAGATAGTTAGAAACATCGATGAGAGAGAATCATCGATCAGCTGCCTCTTGCACACCCCCTACTGGGGATGTGCCCGCAACTCAGGTACATGCCCTTGACCGGAATCGAACCCGGGACCTTTCAGTCCGCAGGCCGACGCTCTATCCACTGAGCCAAACCGGTCCCGGCTAATTATAGTGTCTCTTTTATCATTCTTTTGGAGCCACCTCCAAAGAAAAGCATTTCCATTAAGTACTAAGAAATAGGCTCTTTATTTATTAGAGTTGGCTATTCCAATAAATTGATATTCGTTCTTGGGCAAAAATTTGCCACTATCAAAGACAATCAAAGTATTCCAAAGTTACTAAGGGAAACATCAAAGAAAAACTTACAAAAAATGTCTTTAATAGCATCAAAATTGTTTGGGGTAAATGCATAATCTGCCAAGGAGACTGACTATCTAAAGGAGTAATCTTTGGTATGTTTGTTTTTAAAAAATAATTTCAATGTTTCACACTTCTGTATGATGTGTCCAGATAATCCTATCTAATGAAGAGATAATATGCTAATTGACCCTGATGCCATTGCAAAGATGGCAGCGCCCACAGCCAATAAGGAGGGAATATGCTAATTGACTGCCACTCCCTCAAAGATGGCAGTGCCCAGTCCCATCAGCCCTGCCAGGGCAGCAGGCATGCGGCAAAGCCCGGCCTCCCCCCAAGTGGGCCCAGCCACGCCACACACCTGCCTCTGGAGTGCCCCAGTCCCCTCCACCCCTAGCTGCCTAGGGCTGCCTGAGGCTCAGGTAACCAGGGCTAGCCAAGGCTTGCGCTGCCAGCAGTGACAGCTGCAGAGGTGTGATAGGGCATCGCCTTCCCCTGATCACCAGGTCACCTCCTGCCCCTGAGGGCGCCCAGACTGTGAGAGGGGGCAGGCCAGGCTGAGGGATGCCCCCTCTCCAGTGCATGAATTTTCATGCACCAGGCCTCTAGTCAAATATGAGCGAAGGGGCAGAATACCTATTCATGCTAAGCAGTGTGTTAGGTGTTATACACACATTCTGTTTTTAATCACAGAGATCCACATTGAGAACCAGCTACCACTCTGTTTTAGAGATGGGAATCTTCAGGCTCAGTGATGTTAGGAAATTTGCCCAAGTTCCCTCAGGTAGTAAGTAAAAACCAGGTATATCCCCAAAGATTAGGCTCCTTTCCCTATATCTCAGTCACCAGATCCCAAATGAGGGAATGAGGCAGAGCCCAATAAGTCACTCATTCCATAAGACAGTCAAGTTGAGAGAAAGGAGAGATCACATAATCATGACAGGCAAAAATAATCTAAGGGAAAGGATGATCAAAACAGAGACAGAGGGTTAGCCTGGAGGAAATTGTCTACAAGCCAGGAGAATTGTTGGCATCCTAGTGGACACAGTTCAGAACCTTGTCCCCCACACCCCATACTCACAGAAAGCTCAGACTGGTCGCTTAAGGGTATAGTTATTAGGCAGTAGTCAACTTCGGCAGGCGTTAACTCTGTCATCTTGGTGGATTCTTCTGCCTGGCCTATCACATTAAGAAAGAGCACATAAAAGTAATCACAATATCCACACATGACAGTGGGCACTCTCTCCAAGCACTCGTCATGGGACCCTCAGTGTAGGGACCTCACCATATTTTGGTAACTCTATAGGAGCCATAGAGAGCAACCTTGAGCTGTAACTCATAAGGGGCGCGTGATGTGTGCGTGATCAGCTTTGTAGGTAGATGCTCATGCACACCCTGTCTCCTCCTGCCTACCACCCACATGTTTTCTCCTTTATTTCTATTATTAATTGACCCTGAAGAGAGACTGTATCAGTTGGGCAAAATGATTCAAGGTTCTCAGCAGTTTTCTTTCTCCAAAGGCACAATAATACATTTATTACTCTTATATGATCATAGGTTTTCAGTGACCTCTTCCAAGTAAGGTTTTATCATTATTTTTATAGGGTATTCAGAGTACAAATATTTGTTATTTCCCAATATACCTGTCTCTCCTTTGTGGTTGATAGGACTCTCAGTTTCTTCCTTTTCAAATTTATCAAGAAGTTGTGAGGAGATTTTTATCTGGTCAAATAATATCTGAAATGTAAGCCAAGAGCCACATGACTTCTAAAACTAGAAATCTTCTTTTTAATTTAAGGAAAATTTAAAGCTCAGAAATAGCATATGAAAAATTAGAAATTGGTCCTCATTTTGAAGGAATATTTCACTGTTTCAGCTCCTCTGCCTCCTCCTTTCAGAACCAGCTATGGTTGACCACTTTCCTGCTCTCAGTCACTCCTACTCTGAAGTTGTAACAGCCTTTCCTTCCTCTGTCCCAAGTCTGACTCCTTGAGCTTTCTCAGGGACTGAAGCTCTCAGGATAAGTGTGCTGAGTCCCCCAACTGCAGGCTTTCATCACCCCCACCTCTTCCTCACAGGGTCTCGTGATCAAGGAACAGTGGCTAAATAGTGTGCAAAGCCCAACTTTCTCCCAAAATATTTTATTCATTTTGTGAAATATGTACATACATATAATTCTGATGTTCTTCATGAATGAAGGCAAAACTACAGTGTTCGGCCAACTCATATGAAAAATGATGGAGGAGGGTTTTTTAAAATTAATTAATTGATTCTACTTTTATTTATCATCTTCACCCATGAAATGGTCTTCCTCTTCTCATAGGTAAGTTTTGGAAACTATGTTTGCAGAATACTTTAGCATCTATAGAATGATTCTATATACAACTCAAAGCCAAAAGAAAACCAGCCTGATACATACTCCCTCAGATCTCTGACATTTTAATTCCACCCCTATTGACCATGCCATAGTCTTCTGTCTTCTTGTCACAAATTTCTTTGCCCTGCCTACTGTCTAAGGTAGAAAAAGGTTCCTTGTTCTTGTGGATAAATAGGAAATATTATACTGAGCAAGAGACCATAGCAGTCTACACAAGGCTCATATCATTTCTACAACGTAAGACCAGTATATAGAACTGTTGAAAAACTTCCAAAGAGTTCCTAGTGATTCTTATAATCAAGTAGCTCAGTGTTAAGAAAATGTCAAGAAGTCCACAGCAAGTATCCTCAGAATTTCTGAAAGAATATGGTTAAGGAGGTGTTATTATCCTAGAAAAATTTTCAACTGTTCAAAATAAATAAAATTAAAGCTTTTGAGACACAATTAAAGGCTTTGTGTCCTATGTAGTTAAGACAATGATAAATGAAAAGGAAGAACTGGGATTACAACTCACATCTATTATGATATGCAAAAGATTAATCCTTCTGCTTAATCAAATATTCACATCAAAACCCAACAAGGAGTTCTGGTTCAAGATGGCAATGTAGGAAGATCCTAAACTCACCCCCTTTCACAGACACACTGATCTTCAGCTACACAGTACAATTTCCTCTGGGGGAGGGGAGTGGAGGGCTCTATCTGGATGATTCCTATAGATTAGGTGAACAAGAAAAACCCACATTGAAGCAGGCAGGAGATGTTGAGACACAATCTCACCATACGCCCTACCACTTTTAGCAACCTACAATCAGGAAGAAACTCAAAACCCCAATTTATCCTTGAAAAAGAGAAGAAATTCTGATACTTCAACTTTTAAGACCTGCATCTGAGAAACAAGGCTCCCCTCCAAGTATCTAGCTTTGAAAGCCAACAGGACTAAAGTCCAAGACAAACTGAGACATAGTTCTGAAAGTGCTTGCACATGCAGGCTCATCTTCCCCAGGGCCCAGCATGGAGACAACCCTTAAAAAAACAAACTTTCTATGAAAGAAACTTATTTACTTATATTGAAACATCAGACTGAGGGTCAGGCATCTAATTTAACATGCATCTTTGGGACCTATTGAAATATTCTCCAGGGACAGAAGCCAGAAAGCACCATCTTTACACTCTAGAGTCCCTTTATCTAGCTTGCCAATGTCTCCTGGAAAGGAGCTTGTATTCTCATCTAGTGCCCTGATTTTTGCAGCTGCCATGCAGGGGACACCTCTAAATTTCCTGACTCTAGTGGCCAGCAGGGCATAATCTCATGGGTCCCTCTAGAATTCAGCCATTTAAGAGAGTTCTTAAGCAGCTACCAACTCAGGACACAGCAGACACACAAAGGACAGATGTCCAGTCCTTCTCTGAAAGAGGCCTATTGCTTATCTTTCATAGCTGCTGCCTGAGAGGCAGGCTTCTAATTAAACACACACCTCAGGTCCAGCTGTAATCCTCTCCAGAGAACTTGGAGGGCAAGTGCTACCTTTCTTTATATTCCAGAGCACCAGGACCTCCCAGAGGGCAGCTTGTACATGCATCTAGTGTCTCAAGTTTGGAGTTTGCCACTCAGAGTATGCTATTGGATTGCCTGGTTCGGATGGCCAGCAGGGCTTGCATTCCTGGGTCCCTTAAGACTGTAACTGGGGAAACCATCCCTAGAGCACAGCACATTCAGCAGACTGAAGTATACCCCCAGTCTTTCTTTGAAAAAGGCCGGTTTGCTTTCCTGAAGCTCTGACTAGAGGCAGATTTTCTGGTAGTCACATGTATAAAGGCTACTGAGGTACTCTTAAAAAGAGGCCCATAGATGCCACCTTTGCACTCTTTCTCTGCTTCACTACAGCTCAGTAGTATCTGCCAGAAAGGAGATTGTACCATCACTTGGCACCCCAATTTTTGTGGCTGCTACCCAGGGGACCTCTCTAGATCACCTGGCTCTAGTAGATAGAGGCCTGCAGTCCCATATATATATATATATATATACACTACTAGGGGCCTGGTGCATGAAATTCATGCATGTGGGGTGTCCTTCAGCTCAGCCTACACCCTCTTGCAATCTGGGACCCCTCAAGGAATATCCAATTGTCAGACATTCCTCTCGCAATCCAGGACTGTTGGCTCCTAACCACTCACCTGCCTACCTGTCTGATCCCCCCTAACCACTCTGCATGCCTGCCTGATCGCCCCTAATCACTCTGCCTTCCTTCCTGATTATCCCTAACCACTGCCTGCCTGCCTGATTGCCTCTAACTGCTTGGCTGCCTGTCTGATTGCCCCTAACTACTCTCCTGGCTATCTGCCTGCCTGATCACCCCTAACCACATGCCTGCAAACCACCTCTGCCTTGGCCCCCACCACCAGGACTTCGTCAGGAAGAATTATTTGCATACTTAAAAAGCTGCTGGTTGATGGTCTATTTTCCAATCAGCCTGAATCTAGTATTGATTGAAATCTTCCCTTTGGGATACAAACAACTCTCGACACAACCTCAAATACTAGGAACCATTGTAAATAAAAGACTGCTTGGACAATCACAGGATTGAAAGACAACTAAAAGCTAGCTAGGGCAAGGTTGAGCAACAAGGCTCATCTCCTCACGAGGCCATTCCTTTAGATTGGAAGAGGTGGCTGTTTGATCTAATGCATAGAAACCAACACAGAGAGTTAAGGAAAATGAATAAACAAAGGAATATGTTCCAAATGAAATCAAAATATACCTTAGAAGAAGACCTTAATGAAAGAAGGTAAATGATTTACCTGATAAGCAGTTCAAAATAAAAATGCTCACCAAATGTGGGAGAATAATGGAGGAACACAGTGAGACCTTAAAAAAAAAAAAACACACACACATAAAAAATATGAGAAAGTGCCAAATAGAAGTCACAAATCTTAACACAGTAACTAAACTGAAAAATACACTACAGAGGTCCAAAAACAGACTAGATGAAACGAAGAAAGGATCAGTGAACTTGAAGACAGGGCAGAGTAGTAGAACTCACCCAACCAGAGCTGCAAAAAGAAAAAGAATGAAAAACATAAAGATAGTGTAAGGAATTTATGGAGCAACATCAAACAGACATTCATATTATATGGGTACCATTTCTCTTCTTAAGAGAGAAATGGATATAAACTTTATCTGAAGAAATAAAGGCTAAAAACTTCTCTAACCTGGAGTAGGAAATAGACACACACCATGACACATTATAAATGTCAAAAATTAAAGACAAAAAGAGCCAAAACCGGTTTGGCTCAGTAGTAGAGCATCGGTCTGCGGACAGAAAGGTCCCAGGTTCGATTCTGGTAAAGGGCATGTACATTGCTTGCGGGCACATCCCTGGTGTGGGGTGTGCAAAAGGCAGCTGGTCAATGTTTCTCTCTCATCGACATTTCTAGCTCTCTACCCCTCTCTCCTTCTCTCTGTAAAAAATCAATAAAATATATATTTTTTAAAAAGACAAAAAGAAAATCTTAAAAGCATCAAGAGCAAAATAATTTGTCACATACAAGGGAATCTCTCAAAAACTATCACTTTTCTCAATTAAACTTCAGGCCAAGGGTGTGTGGCACAATATATTAAAAGTGATGAGCTGAAACTGGTTTGGCTCAGTGGATAGAGCATCAGTCCGTGGACTGAAAAGTCCCAGGTTTGATTCCGGTCAAGGGTATGTACCTTGGTTGTGGGCACATCCCCAGTGGGGGGTGTGCAGGAGGCAGCTGATCGATGTTTCTCTCTCATTGATGTTTCTAACTCTCTATCTCTCTCCCTTCCTCTCTGTAAAAAAAAAAAAATCAATAAAATATATATATTTTTTAAAAGTGCTGAAAGACAAAATTTCCAACCAAGAATACCCTACTGATGATGCTGAAATTCAGAATTGGAGATAAAATGTTCCAGACAAGCTAAAGGAGTTCATCATTATTAAATTATCTAAATGTCAAAAGGACTATCTAAGCTTAAAAGAAAGGCTGCTAATTAGTAAGAGAAAAACATATAGCTCAGCTGGTGTTGCTCAGTGGTTAAGCATCAACCTATGAACCAGGAGATCACAGTTCAATCCCGGGTCAGGGCATATGCTCAAGTTGCAGACTCAATCCCCAGTGTGGGGCATGCAAGAGAGAACTGATCAATGATTCCTCTCATCATTGATGTTTCTCTTCCTCTCCCTCTCCCTCTTCCTTTCCCTCTCTCTCTCCCTCTCCTTTTCCCTCTCCCTCTCCCTCTCCCTTCTCTCCCTCTTCCTTCTCTCCCTCTCCTTTTCCCTCTCCCTTTCCCTTTTTCTCTGAAATCAATAAAAATATTGTTTTTAAAAATTCCTGGCCAGGGCACATACCCTAGTTGCAAGTTTGATCCCCAGTAGGGTGTGTGGGGGAGGCAACTGATCAAATGTTCTCTCTCTCTCTCTCTCTCTCTCTCTCTCTCTCTCTCTCTCTCTCTCTCTCTCTCTCACCTCTCCTCTCCTCTCCTCTCCTCTCCTCTCCTCTCCTTTCCTTTTGTCTCTTCTCCTCTCCTCTCCCACTTTTTCTCCTCTTCCTCTTTCTCTCCTCTCCCTCTCCCTCTGAAATTAATAAAAATATTGTTTAAAAAAAATTCCCGGCCAGGGCACATACCCTAGTTGCAAGTTTGATTTCCTTGATCCCCAGTAGGGTATGTGGGGAGGCAACTGATCAATGTTTCTCTCTCTCTCTCTCTCTCTCTCTCTCTCTCTCTCTCTCTCTCTCTCTCTCTCTCTCTCCCCACCTTCTTCTCACTAAAATCAATTGTAAAAATATATAAAACTATAAATTATTGATAAAAGTAAATATATAGTAAAATTCAGAATCTAATATAATTATTTAGAAAGATAATATAATAGCTAAAAGACAAAAGTAGTAAAAATAATAGTGACTATAATACTTCGTTAAGGGAATACAAAATAAAAAGATGTAAATTTTAACATCAAAAAATAAAATGTGGGGAAAAGAGTAAAAATGCAGAGCACTAGAATATAATCAAACTTAAATTGTTATCAACTTAAAAATAGGCTGTTTTAAGTTGTTTTATATAAGCCTCGTGGTAAATAAGCAAAAACCTATAGTAGACACAAAAAGGATAAAGAAAAAGGAAACTAAGCATAACAGAAAACCATCAAATGACACAGGAATAGAGCAAGAGAAGAAAGGAACAGAGGATGTACAAAACAGCCAGGAAGCAATTTACAAAATGGCAATCAGTATATACCTATCGATAACTTTAATATAAATGAATTAAATTCTTCAGTCGAAAGACATAGAGTGGCTGAATAAATTAAAAAAGAGAGAGATCCATCTACATGGGCACACATAGACTGACAGTGAAGGAATGGAAAAAATATTTCATGCAAATGGAAACCAAACAAAAGCTGGGGTAGCTATACTTATATCAGACAAAATAGATTTTAAAACAAAGATTATCATAAGAGACAAAGAAGGTCATTTTATGATAAAGGAATCCTATAACACAATATCATATTTGTAAATATTTATGTACCTAACATAGGAACACCTACCTATATAAAGCAAATATTATAAATCTAAAGAAGAAACATATAAAAACTACATAATTGAAAATTATTAAGAAAGTAAATGAAAACTCCTCATCACAAGAAAAAAAAAATCTTTATGGCAAAGGCTTTTAACTAGACTTGTTGTGGTCATTTTGCTATAATATATATTCAAATGTCAAATCATTATGTTGTACACTTGAAACTAATATAGTCATGCACCACTAATGATGGGGATGTATTCTGAGAAATACATAATTAGGTGATGTCTTTGTTAGCAAACTTCGAATGCACTTACACAAATCTAGAAGGTATAGCCTACTACACACCTATGCTATATTATATAGCCTACTAGAAGCCCGATGCACGAAATTCATGCAAGGGGGTGTGTCCCTCAGCCCAGCCTGCACCCTCTTCAATCTGGGACCCCTCAAGGGCAGTCGGACATCCCTCTCACAATTCAGGACTGCTGGCTTCCAACTGCTCGTCTGCCTGTCTTCCTGATTGCCCCTTACCACTTCTGCCTGCCAGCCTGATTACCCCCTTCCCACTCCCCTGCCAGCCTGTTTGCCCCTAACTCCCCTCTTCTGCAGGCCTGGTTCCCAACTATTCTCCCCTGCAGGCCTGGTTTCCCCCTACTGCTCTCCTCTGCAGGCTTGATTGCCCAAACTGCTTTCCCTTGCAGGCCTGGTCCCTCCCAACTGCCATCCCCTGTTGGCCATCTTGTGGCAGCTGTTGTGTGTCCACATGGGGGCAGCCATCTTTGACCACATGGAAAAGCCATCTTTACGTGTTGGAGTGATGGTCAATTTGCATATTACTCTTTTATTAGATAAGATTGCTCTTAGGCTACAATCCTGTATAGCATGTTACTATAAAAAAACAACATAAGATTAAAATAAACACAACATAAAATGATTTAATCAAGACACAGTAAGCCTCAGAGGCTGTTACCAATGTAACGCATACTGTTTTACAGCAAACTTTTTTCTTAATAAAGAGAAAGAATATTCTAAAGAAATGACAATAATATAGTATAGTAAATTTATCAATCAGTGATATTGCTGTTTATTATCATTATTAAGGATTATGTGCTACAGTTTTATGCAACTGGCTGTGGGTTTTTTTACACCCACTTGGTTACAAATGCAATGCACTATGATGATGTTATGAGTGCTATGCTGTCACCAGGTGATAGGAGTTTTTCAACTCCATTATAATCTTATGGGACCACCCTCATCTATGTAGTCTGTCACTGACTGAAAAATTATTATGTGACAGATGATTATATAATATTTTACCAATTATATTTCAATTTAAAAAACCCCAACATGGAAATTTAAGAGACATGAAAACATACTAAAACACAGTCAAATAATTAAAGAGAATTAAACCTGCCACCTGTTTGTCTTCTCCTAAAGCCTTAATGGAAGCTTGTAATATGTTGAAATGCAAATCAAAATGAATTTCTACTTTCCTCACTTCCTTGTTTCCAATATTAATAGGCTTCAAGTAAATGATGAACATCTTTTTCTTTTCAGTTTCTAGCAAAAAATAAAATGTACCAATGTATATCAACACATTGAAAGTCTGTATTTTATAATTTTAAATAAGTACACCAAGATATTTATCAACAGTCCAGATTTTTCTGCAATGAGTAGTTGAAAAGAAATCATATTTTTTAAAGTTACATAAGCCAAAACTCAACCCCATATATCATCTCTGGTATTCTTTCTTAATATGAACAATGGTTTTGTTTGGTACAATCACCTTAGAAAGATTAAAAGTACTGATTTTGTTTCTCCCCCGCCCCCATGTTTTCCTCCTTAAGGATTCTAATTCCAGGATCCATTTTCTTTACTCGAAATTTCACAATTAAAAACAAACAAACAAACCTGAAAAACTAACCTGGAGGCAAAAGAGTTGTTCACTTTTTTGAAATTCATTAAACTGTAAAACTTTTATTCACAGATGCATTTAAATATAGGTTGAACAGAAAATATTTTCTTCCTTCTCCCCGCCAAATTACACTCAACATTAAAGCTGTTTATAGCTTGCTACCAGCATTATTCTGGTAGGCTTGTTAGTGTTAAATCTGTCTGTGGTTTGTTTGGGGTTTTTTTACTTTAAAAGCTAATTTTAAAATAGATTAATTCAGATGTGTACCAGTGTGTATTTTTCAAAATGTTCTTCATTAAAAAATTGTAAATTATCCATTGTCTTTGAGTATGCCCAATTGATGTGATAAAATTTTCATTGTCTATAAAGCCTTGATGATCAAACACTAATATTGTGAAGCTTTGTGGATTTTAGAAGTATAAAATAAAGCAACCAAGTTTAAATAATTTTTTAAAAGTTACTTTGAAGTTATTTTTATTAGATTCACATGTGTGTTTACAGACACACAAATGATAAAGTGGTTAATATGACAGAAATAGAAAGTAACTAATCTTAGCAGCATAACAATGGTGATATCCTTATCTATTAAAACCATTTTTCAAAGAGCATTTTGTGAATTTAAAGCTATCATATGCAACAGTTATTTAACTTCCCAATATATTAAGCACAACATTCATTCTCATTCTCTCTCTCTCCCAGATCCCAATTATTTCTAAAATTCAAATTCAATGTCACTGTTTGCAATATGCGGAGTGGAATAATCTACCTTCCTTTCAATAGCCTCCACTTAAAAAGGAGAAATGGAAACGTCATAGATAAGATACAGGCCTGTTTTTTAGACAACAGTCTCCTTGAGGGTCCACTACCAGGACACCTGCCCTTACTGACAAACAGTAATCAGTTTAGTACAGAAAATAGCTTAGAAAAAGCGATTTTCAAAGGGTGTGATGCAAGAATTTTTAAAACATGCAACACCTGACTATTTAGTCAGAGGTGATGACTTCTTTTCCCTTAGATTGTCAAATAAATAAAAAAAAAAATGACAACAGCCAACACAATAGCTATCCAGTGTGATTGCCGTCTTTTGTATAGGTCATATAAAAGAGCTGCATCTTATTGGTCACCCTGAATAATAAGGTTGCATATAATTGGTTAATTCTTGGTACCAGAAATCCTTATATAGTAGAGGCACCTGATTTTTTTAAAAATCACTTTGGAACAAAAATTATAAGTAATTACTATGAGCTTTTTAGTTAACCAGTCAAAATTATACCTATTTTTTTTTTTATTGAATCAACAAAAATATAATGTATTTTTTAGTATGCAGAATTTTAGTAATTAGTATAGTTCATTTCCATGAAATAAAAAAGGTTGAAAATTACTGGCTAATAATTCAAGGAAAGTCCAAGAATAAGCCATAGTAAGTACATACTGAGTTGGAAGCAGCAGGAGAGAAAAGAGGAAAGTCTATGAAAGAGTAGGCAAAGGTAACAGTCACAAATTGATGAGGACAGAAAGAGGAAAAAAGAATGAGACACACCTAGGTCTAGACTTATGGCTACTGAGTACATGTAATATGGTTAGCACAAATCAAAGTGCACCATAAGCATAAAATACACATCAGTTTGTGAAGACTTAGGAGAGAGAGAGAGAGAGAGAGAGAGAGAGAGAGAGAGAGAGAGAGAGAGAGAGAGAGAGAAAGAGAGAGAGAAAGAGAGAGAGAGAGAGAGAGATGTCTCATCAACTTCTCATATTAATTACATGTTTAACTGTTAATATTCTGGATATATTGGGTTAAATGTATATTATTAAAAGAACTTAAAATGGCTACGTGAAAATTGAATATTAAATATGTGACTCATACTGTGTTTCTATAGGACAATATTGGCACAGAGACAACCTCAGCGATCCCCCCAAACACCAATCTTACTGGACATCTAGTCCCTATAAAAAAGTATATGAAACACTGCAACAAAAGTAATTCAAACTATATCCACAAATAAAAACAGCTATTTGGGCTGAAGAGCTCAATGCAAACATACATTGGGCATGCAAGAGTCAGAAGAAATTATCTCAGGGCTGCACCAAGCACTCAATGTACTACTAAACATTGCCTACTGCTTAGCAAGAAGTTGCATACAAAACTAAGGTGTTGTTTGGAGAGTTTGCTGAACAATCTTTAATTCCCTTGGCTATAAAAATAGAAAATAGCCGTAGCTGGTTCGGCTCAGTAGATAGTGTCAACCTGTGGACTGAAGGTTCCTGAGTTCGATCTGGTCAAGAGCACATGCCCAGATTGTGGGCTCAATCCTGGGGTTGGGGGAACATCTAGGGGGCTCGTGCAGAAGGCAGTCCATCAATGATTCTCTCTCATCATTGATGTTTATATGAAACACTCTCCCTTCCTCTTTGAAATCAATAAAAAAATATTTTTTAAAAATTAAAATAGAAAATAATACCTACCTCCTTCAGATACTGTGAGGAACTTTGCAAATTATGGAATCTCACAGAAATGTGATATTTTAGTAAAGTATAGAATATGAACTTGGCAAGTTAGTCCCTAAAAACCATTACAGTGCAAGGTTTGGAGTTCAGGAACTTAAACTAAAAAAAATTTCCATAGTCAGGAAATCCAGGGAAGTCCTTCCAAAATAATGATTTAGAGTAAATATCAACAATATTTTATATATCTGAAATTAATAGTAACAGGTAATGACAACATAAATTTATTCTTTATGATTATACTTAATTAACATCTCTAGTAAGTTATTTATAAACCCCTTCTGTTTACTAGAGGTAGGTGATACTCCCAACTAATATATCCTAACCTTTCCAATTCTGTGATTGCGCAACTCTAACTCTTCTCATCTGTGACACAGTAAGAACTATATATTTGGCCTCTGCCCAGATTCCTGACACAGGGCTCCTAAAAATCTTTGTAATTCCCTGAGTGCTAGGAGTTCTAGAAGCATCTTTTCTTCTAATATTTGGTCTTTGACCCCTATTCCTAACACAAGAGCTAAGACCCTTAGAATCCCTAGAGTGAAGAGTGTCTTTCTGTACGCTAATGAGGAGACTGGAGGCTCCTGGAGAGCATCAGATGCTTGCTAGTCCCAGAAAGACTGTCACCATTTGAGGGTTGGAACTTTCAGACCCACTCCTCAACCTCCAGGGAGGGGAAAGGGTCCAGAGATTGAGTTAATAATCTATCGTGCCTTCGTGATAAAACCTCCATAAAAACCTAATGTAGGGGTTCATAGAGCTTTCAGGTTGATAACACATCCTTGGAGGGTAGAGCAACCCAATTTCTCAGGGACAGGAGCTCCTATGCTCAGGACACTTCTGGATCTCACCCTGCGTACCTCTTTACCTGGCTCTTCAGCTGTATCCTTTGTTGTATTGTTTATAACAAACTGGTAATCTAAATAAGTGTCTTCCTGAGTTCTGTGAGCCAATAGAGCAAACTACCAAACCTGAGGAGGTTGTGAGAACCCACGATTTGCAGCAAATTGGTCAGAAGTTGACAGGTGGCCATCTGGTGCACCAGCATAGTAAGAAACAAAAATTAACAAAAATCCAAAAGCATTTTGATGGTATTACTTGTGGGGGGAATGTTAGACAGGAAAAATAGCTGCTAGGGCAAGAGGGGAAGTTTGAAAAGGAGGAGTTCATCTCACCCACTGAACAAAGAAGTCAGCCCTCTTGGGACTTGCGAAGACAACATGACCAGATGTTCTCATAAATTCTGGGGAAAGCTGCAACAATGTAAAAGGGGAACCTTGAAATCTAGTCTATTTTCAGGAGAACCTTGAAACCTATAGGGAGGGAAAAGTATAAAACCCTTGAATCCTCTTCAGTCCACAGGCCAAAGCTCTATCCATTGAGCCAAACCTACTAGGGCCCCCCAACATCTTTTTATTTTTAAAGACCCAATTCGAGAATCCTGATAGATGTTTAAGTATGATTATATGAAATGCTGGGCTGGACTAACAGGTTATTTGCAGCTACCCAGAAAAGGATCACTCCTGATTTTATGTCCCTCAATCCTATCTACTGATCTGAGAAGGAAGGTGAGTGATAGAGGTTTAAGAAGGGGGATCAGAGGGATGCTATTTAGATGGAGGTAGCACATACCCATATAAGCTCATTGATAATTACTATAAATCTGTGAGAAGAGAAGGACAGGTACTACAGCCACTTTTTAAAATGATGGTACAAAAAATAACACCATGTTTAAGTGTGCAGTTCAGTTGTTAGTATATATTGTACAACAGATCTTCCAGAACATTTTCATTTTGTAAATCTGAAACTGTGTGCATTAAACAAGTCCCCATTTTCCCCTTCTCATAGATCCTGATAACCACTATTCTATTGCCTCTATAAATTTGAGTTATTTAGATACCTCATACAAGTAAAATCTTACAGTATTTGTCCTTTTGTGACTAGCTTATTTCACTTAGCATAATGTCCCCAAGGTTCATCCATGTTGTCAGAATTTCTTTCCTTTTTAAGCTGAATAATATTTCACTGTATATATACACCCCATTTTGTTTATTTATCCACTGATAGACACTTAGGTTGCTTCCACCTCCTGGCTACTGACAATAATGCTACAATGAACAGGGGTGTATAAATATCTTTTTGAGTCCTGTGTTCAATCCTCACAGATATATACCCAAAACTGATATTGCTAGATCATATAGTAATTTAATTTTTAATTTCTTAAAAAACAACAACAACCATTTCTACAATGAGAAAACCAAGCAAGTAATTGAACCCCAAAGTCACAAAGCAAAGAAGTCACCAGTTCCATTCCCTTACATCCTGGTCCTAAGCACAGTGCTCCTTCCACCACACTTCCACCCCAAGGCACTAAATATGCTCTGTAATTAACTAAGCATATACTGCAACTATAAACAAAAATAATACTCTGATAGTTTATCATCTTACCTATTATGCTGAAATTAATCACTGCTTCTTTCAAAAGTCTTACTGAGTCCCACAGAGCATTCTTGGGGGGGGGGGGGGGGGAAGGACCGAGAAATAAGTGAAATTCATGAGCATATAATACATACTTGCATATGAACAATCTCTAAGTGCTTAAATTTAAACAGAAATCAAATGTGATTACCTCGGTACTATCTATATAAAAAGTTACACTCTGACTTCCTAGGTTGAAATCAATCCAAAATTTCTCTAATTTTTCATCTGCTGGTTTTCTCATCTGTAAGATATAATTTCAGCATAAATTATACACATAAGTACCATGTCAAAGGGTCAAATAGAAAAATTTCCATTAAAAACAGAAGTGCTTTTCCTTAAATACCACCCTAATATTACAGTGTATCTCTGGAGAGTGGCTACAGTGTTGGACAGGTTTAAGCCTCGGACTAATGAGAGGGCACAGTCCTCTCATTGCCACATGCAAGTCCCAGCTTGGAGGACAGAGCCCTCCCAGCACAATTACAGCCAACAGCTATAGTTGTAAGCTTGAACCTATGGTCCAAACACGTGGCCCCAAGTACCTGAGTGATGTGGGCTTGATACAGTTCAGGTACATGGTACACATAATTGAGTAGGATCTAAACCCATGAGGACATTGTAAACATCTTGACCATGCCCTTACTTTGCCTCATGGAATCTGACTATAAAATAAAGATATGGTAGTCTGTGATGCTGTCGCTAGCTCTCCATCAGAGAGGACAGTGTCCCACCGAGACCCAGCTTTCATTCTCTTATCTGTCTTTTCTCAATCCTCACCACTCCCTCTCAGGCTCACTGAACCTGGCTGAGCTGGTATGGTATATAAGGTGCTCTGGGACTGAGTATGCCACGGCCATGCCGGCTCACCACATATCTCTTTATTGCCTTACTCATTTCTTCAAACAAAAGGAAGGTCACAATTTTATACAACTAAACTATTTCTGGAAAAAATATCCTTAACTATTAAATATATCCTTAACTATTAAATATATATTCAAATGTATCAGAGCAGAGGATTCTGTCCACACAAACTTTTTTTCCTGGTGAAATCACAGAGACAACCATTCTATGTCTAAACAGTAACAATTCACACTGCATATGGATGAAAATGTCTATCAAAGGAAGCACTGTGATCAAATATAAGTGGTTATTTGCCCTCTATTTTGCCACCTATTAGAATAGAGCTAAGACCTAAATATTTCAAATTATCTTCATTTTAGTTATTATAAAATAAATATATGCTTACAGTAAAAACAGTCAAACAGGAGAACCAAGATGGTGGCATAGGTAAATGCCTGTACTTGCTGCCTCCCACAACCACATCAAAATTACAACTATCATCCAGAATCACAGGAAAGCTGGCTGAGTGGAAGTGCTACAACTAGAGAGGTAATGAAGAAAGCACACTAAGACTGGTAGGAGGTGTGGAGGCGCAGAACAGACTGGTCTGGTATCCACCTGTGCTGTTTTTTAATCAGGAGGGAGATTGCCTCTGTGGAGGCTGCATGGAGAAGCAAAGGGTCCCAGCCCCACACCAGACCCCCAGCCAGGGTCCCAGAGCTGGGAAAAGAAGCCCCTATGGGCAATAAGAACTACAAACTGTAAAAAACCAGTGTGAATTGGGGCAGAGTGACACACAGACTGCTAGAGACCTAGCGGCTCCTCTTAAAAGGCCGGCACCACAAACTGAATTTACAAGCTCCCACTCCCCGAGCTCCAGTACACATACTGGGAGAAACTGTACTGTCTGCAGGAACTTGGGGACAGCTTTCTTCCAGACGGAGGTGCTCACTGTGGTCATTGTTCCTGTGATGGGACCTCCCTGTGCAGGGCTGACTGGCAGCTATTTCTGTTTGCTCTGATCTGGTGATTCCCTGAGACACCACCCACCCAATTTACAACCCCACCCAAGCTGTGCACAGCAGCTTTTGCATATGTTTTTTCTTGAGGCTAAAAATCTGCAGCTGGGTCAGGAAGCTCCAAAACAATCAATAAAAGCCCAAGACCAGCCTGCCTTGTTTCATAGCTGTCCCTCATCTGGGCACTTCCAAACGGGATACAAAGAGGAGGAATCTGCAGACCTCTCTGTAGCTCCTACTGGATGGCCCCAGGCAGTGGCTGACTTTGCACCTCCCTGGAGACCCAAGAGCCAGTGTACCAGTGGTCAGTGAAACCATACCAGATTACAACTCTTCACATACATGAGTGACATTCTCAAGGGGCAGACTCAGTGAGCACCAAAGCCCCACTGAAGCAAGTCTTGCTCCATAAGGTTGTCTCCTGCACAGCAACTCTCCCACTGTAGTCACAACTGGTCTCCACAGCCAATTGGCCTGGAAGTCATTTCCTCCCAGTGTCACCAAGGGCAATCAAGGTTCAACTAAAACAAGACTGTACACAAAGAGGTGCACTAAAAGTGTCCACCTCACTGAACCCTATAGGACACCTACCACACAAGGCCACTCTATAAACTCAAGGAGATTTAGTGGCTACCCAATACATAGAAACAAACACAGGGAAGCAGCCAAAATGTGGAGGCAAAGAAACATGTCACAAATGAAAGAAATGGAAGAAAGCAAACTCCTGGATATAGAGTTCAGAATCAGTTATACGGTTACTCAGAATCTTCTAGAAACCTCTGAGAAACATAGTGAGACTTTCAAAAATCTTAATGAGAATGAAAAAAAAAGAGAAAAGGACCAGTCAGAAATTAAGCATACACTGACTGAAATAAAAAAATAATATACAGGGATTCAACAATAGATTATAGGATCTTAAGAATCAAATAAATAAATGATTTGAAATACAAGGTAGCAAAAAACACCCAACCAGAAGAGCAAAAAGAAAAAAGAATAAAAAATATGAAGATAGTGTAAGGAGCCTCTCAGATAATTTCAAACATGCCAACATCTCAATTATGGAGGTTCCAGAAGAAAAGAGAGAGCAAGATATTGAAAACCTATTTGAAGAAATAATAACAGAAAACTTCCCCTACTTGGTGAAAGAAACAGACTTATAAGTCCATGAAGCACAAAGAACACCAAACAAGAGGAATCCAAAGAGGACCACACCAAGACACATCATAATTAAAATGCCAAGAGCAAAAGACAAAGAGAGAATCTTAAAAGCGGCAAGAGAAAAGCAGTTAGTTACCTAGAATGCCCATACAATTGTCAGCTGATTTCTGAACAGAAACTATGCAGGACAGACGGGAATGGCAAGAAATATTCAAAGTGATAAATAGCAAGAACCTACAACCAAAATTACTCTACCCAGCAAAGCTATCTGATCTGATTCAGATTCAATTTAGAATTGAAGGTCAGATAAAGAGCTTCACACACAAGAAAAAGCTAAAGGAGTTCATCACCACCAAACCAGAATTATATGAAATGCTATAGGATATACAAGAAGAAGAAGAAGAAGAAGAAGAAGAAGAAGAAGAAGAAGAAGAAGAAGAAGAAGAAGAAGAAGAAGGAGAAGAAGAAGAAGGAGAAGAAGGAGAAAAATATGAACAACAAAGTGGCAACAAATACATATCTATCAACAATTGAATATAAAAATCAAATGAATAAAAAAATCTGATGAATAAAGTGGTGAATGGAATAGAATCAGGGGCATGGAAGTGGAACAGACTGATGATTCTCAGGCGGGAGAAAGTGTGGGGACGATGCAGGAAGAGATTAGACAAAGATCTTTTATGCATGTATGTATTAAATATGGACATAGACAATAGGGTGGTGATAGCCTGGTTTGAGGTGAGAACAGGGTGGAAAAAAGCTATGGAGGGAAAAAAGATGGACATCTGTAATAATATCAACAATAAATATTTTTTTAAAAAGCTATGAAGACCAAAAAGAAACAACACAAAAGAAAAAGAAGAAAGAAGAGTCAAACAGTATGGTGGAAACAGTATAGAGGAATCCAAAGAGAACCATAGAAACAGCAAATATCTCCTTTTCTGCCGCCCCTGACTTCCCAGAGATACCTTCACATAGGCACCATTAACAATGCCTTTGTTTTCTCCCAGACATGTTGTAGACATGTATCAGGAAATACACTTTTTATTCCACAACAATGAAGCACACACTAGACTTATTATTCTACCACCTGGTTTCCAATAAACAGTATATCTTGGACACCTTTTCATCACATATACCTATTTTCTGATAGCTATAGAGTTAAATAAAGGTTTTAACCCACAATGTAAGTTACTGGAAGTCAGTGTAAGAGCCCTGATTGTAGCTGATGGAAAGTCTGAAGTCCAAGAAAGAAGAACTAAACAGAGTGTAGACTCCCCAGACAATTAGAAGGAAAAATAGAATTTAGATACTGAAGTCAGGCTACCAAAACCAGTTCCAGAGAGAAATTTGTAGTGTAGTCATGAGTTACAGGTGCAGTTCACAGAGGCCAAGAAGGGGGTTCTAAACTCAAAACAAAGAAATGGTTAATTAGGACATTCTGAAGACTTGGCCCAGGAAACCCCCAATAGAGTCAAGGTTCAGATATCTTTAAAGATTTTATGCCAAAGTTGAGATGTTGCAGGATGTGACACCTGTATATGAATGACCTTGGAAATCAAAGGAAGAAGTAAAAAGAAACTGCTCAATTTTGGACTATAAAGTACAAAATGGAATTCTTTAGAAAAAAGGAAAGTGTCCCCAATTTGCTGGAGAACTGTGTGGAAAGAAGCAAAATAGTTGCCTTTTATCCATACATGAATAATGCTAACTACTAACAGAGTAAAATAAGGCTAGGTTCCTGTAATTAAACTCATGAACACATATACACCCTAAAACATCTTGATCTAATAATAATAGCAGGGCACTTATACTTACTGGTAATGCACTATAGTTAGAGTATGAGAGAAGACAGGGGAAAGGGGCAATAAGCTTCAGAGTTGAGACCTCTCTACAAGAAGTAAGCTTCCTTTTTAAGGAGCCCTTCTGAGAAGTAAGAGCAGCGTGACTAAGTAAACCTAACCCTGAGTTTCATTACACACCACCCTCACAGCCCGCAAGAAATACAAACATACCTCATGCCAATCAGCAAAAGCGGCAATACATGGAAATGTATAGACCCTGTAAAACACTTCACAATTAAAAAAATAATAATATGGATGGAACCCATGCACCACCTACAGTTGTTCTACAAACAAGCATTTATAACTAGGGGATGACATCAAGTCTGTTGGTACAAGGTATTGAAGAGGACCTTAAACCTGCCAGTGGAGATCCACTGTGGCTAGATTTCAAGTCTCCATCTGTTAGCCTACAAGCCAGGTTTAACAATACTATATCTCTTTTCAGTCACTTGGCAAAATCCCCAATGAAAGAAGTGAATTTAGCAAATATCTTCTCATCAAGTACTTTACTGTCTATAATACAGCTATCCCTAGTGGCCTCAAGTCTGTAGGGGATCACTCTTCATAAAATCTTCCCAGAGGATATAATGTTAAAAATACTCCAAATCACAAATATGCTAAAAGACTGACAGAGATTATTTTTCAAAACTCAAATGAATCAATAGGGAGAATGAGACTAATCTTCTGAGGTTTCTACTCAATAACTCAGTAGTACTCAATAAATTATATGTCCTATGTTCTTTTTCTAAAATAAAATAAATCCTAGATTTTTTTTTTAAATTAGACATTTTCAAATACAATTAGCCAATAAAACAATGCTCAGAAAAATATCTTACCTTCTTTGGTCATCAAGTCTGTTGTTTAGGTAATTGAGAAACAGCCTACTGTCCTTCAAAGTAAATAATGCAAGTTTTTTAATAGAATACCAAGATGTTTTAAATAGTACTACACTCACCAGCATGTAAGGGACAGTGTTTGCTTCTAAATTTCCAGGATCTAGTAATATCACCAGAGTTCATTATTATGTGCTAACCAAAATAATACTTTGTGTCACAATGAGGAGGCTCCAGACATATGTTCTAGAAGGAGTCCCCTAACCAGGAGATTTTCAGCTGAGGAATGTATAGGTCTTCAAAAGTTATATGCGAGATTACATACTCTCCTCTCCTGGTGAAAGAGTAGCAATAGAAATACATCTTACTGATGAGCTGGATTACAATATTTGACTACTCCACTGGGCATCCATTTCCCTAACATCTGTCCAGGATAAGCCAACCACAAACCCATAAAACTTACTGACTTTGGGTTTACCTGGATATATTGTCACCTGCCCATTTTCCTTATCCAGAATACTCTTTCCTGCAATTTCTGAGTTTTCTCTCCCAGTATATGTTCTAAGAATAAAGAATATGTTTAGAGTTCTCCTATCCAAAAGCTATTAGGAAGGAAAATGTGTTCCCTCCAAAATTCAAAAGCCAAAGAGACTCTGATCCAGGCATTTTGTCCCTTATGTCAAAGCAATGACTGGCTGTTGTCTTCAGTCCTTACTCTCTGTCTATATTCAGCACCAAATAGACAACAGTACTGTAAGTCTTCATATAAAAACAGTTTAATTAAGAAGTTGATGGGGCCCATGCACCACCTACAGTTGTTTATAGAACAACTGTAGGTGGTGCATGGGTTCCATTAACTTAGCCATCAACTTCTTAATTAAACTGTTTTTATATGAAGTGGGAGGTATGACTTGAAAACCAAGATAATTACTTTTGTCCTATTTTCATCTAATTTCCATGCAGATGAGGGAATGACACAAAGGAGAAAAGAAACTAATATCTGAGTGTCCACAACATGCCTAGCACTTTCATTTTCTCTCATTTGATTCTCTAAATATTGAGGTCAGTTTCATTTTCATTTTAAAGCCACTCAAGTTTCTCCTAAATCAACTTGACAAAATGCAAGTATCAAAATACTAGTACATACAAATCAGGGAGGTGGGACTCCCGGGGCTCAGGGTGTTTCTATCGATATATAGATCAAACTATATCCTGGCTATTGCAGATCTGGCAATAGGCTCAAAGTCAAATATAATACATTTAATAATTTATTTAAAGGTTTGAATTTAACAAAACCCTAATTGCATAACCATTTACCAAAACCATTCATGTTTTATTCAACATGAATACAGCTATAAGGAATTTTACCTTTTCTGCACTGGCCAGTGTGGTCAGTGGTTAGAGTGCCAGCCCAAGAACCAAAAGGTCTCTGTTTTAATTCCAGGTCAAGGGCACATACCTGGGTTGTCATTAGCTCCCAGCCCCCCAGTCAGGGCACATAAGGGAGGGAAGCAACTAATCAATTTGTCTCTCTCACATTGATTTCTCTCTCTCTCTCCCTCTCTCTCCCTCCCTCCCTTCCTTCCTTCTACTCTCTCTAAAAATCAATGAATAAAATATCTTTAGGTAATTAATAACAACAAGAAATATATAGATTAAACAGAATTTTGAGGACCAGGAATCGCACCGTTTCAAATTCTTGATCCTTAATTTTTTTGAAAGCTTCAGCAATGACATCATCCTCAAACCACTGATGGACAAGGTCATCCCTTGACTTTTTAGTTGTCAGTCTACACAATGCTTCAGAAAGAGCAGCCTGCTGGCCATAATCTAGAGATTAAAAACATGGCAGACATGGGTAATTCTGGGCTCAAAGCAAAAGAATAAATGAGTTCCAAAGATTAGCACTTCCTCTAAGAAATTCCATCTTAGAAGTCTAGCATTGTCTTATAAGCAGCAAAAGCAAGATGTATCTTGGAGTAATTACAATAATATAAATTCAATATTTAAGAAATAGTAGGAGAAAATCTAAATAATAGGTTAGCATATAACAATTTTAAATAAATCGTTGCATTTTATATTACCTATATTAAACATTCATCAGAAGTTGTTCATCAAATAGCCTTTAAAAATACTTCTACTACAAAGATTAAGTTTCAAGACTGATTGTGGAATTTCACAGAAGATTAATAAAAACTATATATTTCAACATGTTTAAATTTCAAATAATTCTAAGAATAAAAAGAAAGTTGCAGCTGTATATGTACATCAGGATGAGATTTAGAAAATGCCTTTAAAATCACAAAATAATAATGTACATTGCTTTTGAACACATAGTAAAAAAGTAAAACAATATACTTAAGAACGAAAACAAATCTAAGTCAAGGATTATGTCCACCAATGAAGAGGGGGTTGGGAACAGCGACATGGACACAGATTTAGTTTTTAAATATTTGAAACAACCGTAGCAAAAATTATAATATTTGATAAAGTTGGTTGATGAGTAAATGAGCATTCTTTATGGTTTTTAGCATGCTAAAATTTCTCACAGTAATTGAAAAACAAAATTCTAATTCTTATTTTCAGTTTGGCCATAATTTATCCAATACTTAATGTTCTTATATTTAAAATTCTAAACATTTCTTACCACCCACAGTCAAGATTGTTCTTGCAAAATCTTTCCTGAAAAACATTTAGAAAAACTACATTTTACATAAATGAACCTAAGTGGGCAAAACTTCACTCTATTGACATTAGAATTTAAAACCAAGAGTTATATTTTTGAAATTATTTATTTCAATTCAGCATCAGCATTTTATCAATGTCAAAAATAGATTTTTATGGCAATCTTTCTCTTTTGTATATTAATGACTTAAATGTACATTTTTTAAGACACACACACACACACACACACACCACTGCATCTGGAAGAAATATTAACAGCAGGTGCTCTGAGTCTTTCCAGAGAATTTTTTTAACTTATTTTTAAAACTGATTATAGACCAAGATGATGGCAAAGGTAAACACCTAAACTGCTGCCTCACACAACAATTTCAAAACTACAACTAAAAGACAAAATGTCTATCACCCAGAACCACGGGAAAGCTGACTGAATGTAAGTTCTATAACTAGAAGGAAAGAGAAAAGAGCACAAGCACTGAAAAGCTGAGGTATGGAGGCATGCGAATCGGACTACTAGTGGGTAACTAGGTGCGCAGCTTTTTTTTTAATCCAAAGGGAGACAAACTCCCGATTGCTCTGAAATCCAGTTTCTGGGGACACACAAGAGACCCAAACTCCAATGGAGAAAAGCTGGACTTTCGGCCATCAGGTCAGAAAGTGAGGGTGACTTTCTTGCAGAGGTGCGCCCAGCAATCATTGTTTACTGCGCTGAGGTACGGGGACTTGGAAACCCTGAGACACAGCGATGGCTGACTGGCAGCCCTTGCTGTTTGCCACGCCTTCGCCTAGGAATGTTCTGACACTCCACCCTGCGCAATCTACAAATACACCCAAGCTTCTTACAGCGGCTTTTGCATATAAATGGCCTGCCCTGTCACAGCTTAACCAAATAAACTACAGCTCCAGCCAGACAGTTCCAAAACCTCCAAATCCCAAGCAAAGAGGAGAAAACTGTAGTTCTTTGAGGGTGGCACCCATTGGAAAATCCAGAAGCTAGTGTAACTAGTATTCTGTGTGAGACGACACTAGTTTTCAACTACTCTCATAAGGGACACATTCAAGAGGCAGACTCAGTGAGCACCAAAGCCCCACTGGAATGAGTCCTGCCCCATAAACGTGTCTCCAGCCCAGCAATTCTTCCATTATAGACACAACGGGTCTGGAGGTCAACTCTTCCCAGTGACACCAACAACAATCAAGACTTAACTACAACAAGGCTGTACACACAGTCCACAAAGGGGAGCACCAAGAGTATCCACCTCAGGTAACTGGGAGGCTGACCCATTGAACCATATAGGATAACTAGCACACAAAGCCACCCTATCAATTCAGGGAAGCAGTGAAAATGAGAAGACAAGGGAAAAGATCACAAATTAAAGAAATAGAGGCGAACAAACAATTATATAAAGTTCAAAACCATGGTTATAAGGTTTTTCAAGAATTTTCTAGAAAAGGCCGATAAATTTAATGAGATCCTCGAGGATATGAAAAAGGACTAACTTGAAATTAAACATATAATAACTGAAATAAAAAAATATTATACAGAGTCCCAACAGCAGAATAGAGGATCTCAAGAATCAAGTCAAAGATTTGAAATATAAAGAAGCAAAGAATAATCAATCAGAAAAGCAAAAAAGAAAAAAGAATTCAAAAAGTTGAAGATAGCGTAAGAAGCCTCTGGGACAACTTTAAGCATACCAACATCCGAATTATGGGAATGCCAGAAGAAGAGAGAGATTAAGATACTGAAAACTTATTAGAAGAAATAATAACAGAAAACTCCCCCCACCTGGTGAAAGAAATAGACTTATAATTCCAGGAAGCACACAGAACCCCAAACAAATGGAATCCAAAAAGGACCACACCAAGACACATCATAATTAAAATGCTAAAGCAAAAGACAAAGAGAGAATATTAAAAGCAGCAAGAGAAAAATAGTTACCTACAAGGGAGTACCTATACAATTGTCAGCTGATTTCTCAACAGAAACTATGCAGGCCAGACAGGAATGGCAAGAAATATTGAAAGTGATGAACAGCAAAAACCTACAACCAAGATTACTCTATCCAGCAAAGTTATCATTTAGAATTGAAGGGCAGATAAAGAGCTTCACAGATAAGAAAAAGCTAAAGGAGTTCATCAACACCAAACCAGTATTATATGAAATGCTGAAAGGTATTCTTTAAGAAGAGGAGGAAGAAGGAAAAGGTAAAGATAAAAATTATGAACAATAATACATATTTATCAAAAAGTGAATCTAAAAATCAAGTGAATTAAAAATCTGATGAACAGAATAAACTGGTGAATATAATAGAATCAGGGGCATAGAAAGGGAGTGGACTAAAAGTTCTCATGGGGAAAGAAGGGGTATGGGTGGTGCAGGAAAAGACTGAACAAAAATTGTACACCTACGGATGAGGACAGTGCAGGGACTGTAAGGGCAGGGGTGTGGAAGGGGGGGAAACCAGGTGGAGGGGAGCTATGGGAAGAAAAAAAGAGGAGCAATTGTAATAATTTGAACAATAAAGACATTAAATTTTTTAAAAGACAGTGCTCTAGATAATGCAATGAACATAAATGGCAAAATCAGGATCTGAAGCCAAGCAGTTTATCAGCAGGATCTGTACTCAACAGTGTCCCATGAGTAACTAGTAATTTAGTTTATAATGACAGTGAAAAAATTATTTATAGACCAAGAAAGCATTTTACCTCACAAACTTGATGGGGGGGACTGAAGGGTATCGGGTTTGATTCCTATCAAGGGCACATGCCTGGGCTATGGGCTTGATGCCCAATGGGGGGGGGGGGGAGGGAGGGTGTGTTCAAAACACAACTGATCAATAGTCCTCTCTCACTGTTAATGTTCCTATCTCTCTTTCCCTCTCCCTTCTTTCTGAAATCAATAGAAATATATATTTAAAATACCTGAGGTAATAAACACACACACATACACACACACACACACACACACACACACACACACACACACACCCCATACTATTAAAAAAATAAAAGCTTAACAAAGGCTAGCTTTTTTCTTCAGTCCTTCTTCACTGCTTAGCATAGTGCCAGACTCATTATAAGTGCAAAGCAGCTGAAACCGGTTTGGCTTAGTGGTAGAGCGTCGGTCTGCAGACTGAAAGGTCCCAGGTTTGATTCCGGTCAAGGGCATATACATTGGTTGCAGGCACATCCCCGGTAGGGGTTGTGCAAGAGGCAGCTGGTCGATGTTTCTCTCTCATCGACGTTTCTAGCTCTCTATCCCTTTCCCTTCCTCTCTGTAAGAAAAATCAATAAAATATATTTTAAAAAATACTAAGTGCAAAGCATTTTCTGAAGGAAGGAATGAAGTGATCAGGCTTGAGGAGAACAAGTGAGATTTTGCCTGACATCATCACATAGTTGAGTACAAGGTCACTTACATGAGATGACACCGGTCTTCTGATGAGTAGAGTTTTCTCTCTTCCCAAGGTACAGCCTGCAAAATGCTGTTCAAAGTCATCAAAGCCTGTTTAGAGTTAGAGAAAAGCATCCATAGGGAAGAAATAAAACAGGGACCAATGCACAACCTTCTCCCAGGTTTCTACTTTGTTATCTGTTTTGTTATTTGCCACTTACCTCTTGTTGAATCAAATGATTTACTGTCTTTTCTGTCACCAGAAATCCTAAGGTAAACATGAAGGAATCCAACAGCTGAATTTTTCCTGAAAATATAATTTTAAAACAATCAAATGGATGCTAGAAAGAAGAAGGCAAGAAAAGGCAACAGTCTAAGATGAACATAGCAAACACAGAAGTAAATGAGAAAGAAACATGTAATATGAAAATTGAAGTTATTCTAGATATTTCAATCTGAGGGAACTTAATACAGGAAATTATTTATAAAAACAATGAAAAAAACTAAAAAGTCAAATTGGAAACAATGAGGTGGCCCAGAAATGAACATCATTAACATATTTACTAGCCCCCTCCTAGCTACACCCTCCCCCAAAGTTACCTAGAGGAAGTAAGAGGTATTACCAGACCCTAGGAGTCAAGGTCACCTAGCAAAAGCTCTAGTAACATGAATGGGCCAGAGCCTCAGAGACTCTGCAGACACCCATGGAGGTTGCACCTCTGCAGAAGGGAGGGGAGAAATGCCTTCTATGCTCCTTCCTGCTTCTAATTTCTTTCCTTTGGCTAAACCTAGCAGGCAGCCAGTTGATAAGAAAACCTAGGGAAAATAGTCCTCTGTAATACAAAGTATACTACAAAGGGGAGAGAGAGAATACGAGGGGGGTAAGAGAGAGAGAGATAGAGATAGAGAGGAGAGAGAAAGAGAGAGAGAGAGAGAGAGAGAGAGAGAGAGAGAGAGAGAGAGAGAGAGAGAGAGAGAGAGAGAGAGAAATGGGTATAAAAGCAGAGGCAGGTCAAACCCACACACAGGAAGCAAAGATGTGATAGCAGAATTCAAGTTTGCACTGGAAGCAATGAGCAGAATTAGTTAAAGCAATGGCTTCCAAGAAAAAACTAAAGAACTGCTTTCAAAATACATGGGAGGAAATGACAAAAAATTATGCATATGAAAACTAAAAAGATGTAATGGATGAATAACAGATAATCTTACAGAGACTAGAATAGAAGGAGTAACTATAATGGACTTTTTGGTGCCTTCACATCATCCTTTCCCCTTCCTCTATTATGTAGCAGTCTTTCTATGGGACGAGTGGACTTGCTTCAGGGGTGGATCCTGATTGGCTTAAGCTATGCTGGGACATCCTATTCATCTTTTCATAGTGATTGGTTCATTAAGGGGGGGCATCCTGTTAGAGCAAAGCGAGGGCTTTCTTTTGGTGGCTGAAGAAGGAGAAAGTTTCTTTCCCTGGACATGAACCTAGAAGCTCAAAGTGCTGGTTACTGGCCACCATCTAACAACCATCAGACTCAAGACTCTGAGGAAGGTGGAATTGAAAGAACAGTAGTGAATAGCACATAGCCACAATCAAACTTCTCCTGAAACTCCTGTCTCTGGATTTTTAGCTCTTGTGCCTGTATAGTTCATCTTTATCATTCAAGCCTACTTGAACTATATATTGTGACATATACCAAAAAACACTTTAACTCAGTGGTTTTCAACTAGAGATGATTTTTACCCCCACCTTTACCCAGGGGGGCACTTAACAATTTTTGGAGATTTTTTTTTTTTTAGCTTGTTACAACTGGGGAAGTGGGAGGGGCTGCTATTAGCATCTGGTGGATAAAGGCTATGGAGATTGCCAAACATCCTAGATGTATAAGACAGCAATCACCCCCAAACAAAGAATTATCTGGCCCCAAATGCCAATAATGTCAGAGCTGAGAAATGTTGCTCTAACTGATAAAGTTATCAAAGAATAAAATGTCCCAAAAGGGACAAGTAAGATTTGATTCAATATAACTCATCAAGAACCACCTAAAACAAAATGGTGTGTGCAATGCTCTCAACACTTAATGTTAAAAGACAATGAGAATCTGCAAAGCAAGAGTGTATAAAAGCCACAAAGGCATTCTTAAACAATAAGAAGTTCTGACTATGTCCAACCCACACACACCAATAACACTCTTCCAACTATTATTACAGCAGATGGAGATAACACAGATCAGTGAGGACATCACAGTATAAACAGGTTGGTAGTTACCCTAAATAATTATTGTAAATAGGACTGCAGCACAAGGCAAAGAGCAAATACTGTTTATAAAGATATATCCATTATCTAAGCCTAAAACCAAAATTAAATTAAATAAATCTAGGTAAAAGATGAAGGAGGAATAAAAAAAAAGTGTTAAATTCCTTGCTATATAGCAGAAAGAAACAATATGGTGCTATAATTTTGATGTTGATAATTAGATTAAGAGTAACTACCAGTAAAATAAAAGTTGAATATAAGCCATTTAAATCACTAGAGAGAAGCACATTGTGAAAGAAAATATAACCCATATAGTAAAGCACAAAACAAAGGAATTATAAAATGGAACAATCCAGTAAGATGACATAAATCTTGGAACAAAATGGAAGGAATAATTCTATCAATGGCAGGAGGATGTGGGAATGTCAGTGAAAATATCTCTGAACTTCAAAGAAAGAGGTTAGCTCCCAATTGTGTACAGTCTGGACAATACCCATGGCAAAATGACTGTCAGAGATCACATGTGAAAATCTGACACTTGCAGATTTTCATATGTGACCAGAATGGGTTCCAAACACAAACTGTCATTGTTATGGAAATTTTTGTTTCCCCCAAAAATTAATAGGTTGAAGCCCTAACCTGAACGTGATGGCATTTGTAATGGGCTCCTTAAAAAAAGGTAATTAAAATTAGATGGAGTCATGAGGGTGGAGTCCTCATGATGACACTAGTGCCTTTATAAGACAAGACACCAGAGATTTGACTTGCTCTCTGCCATGTGAGGACACAGCAAAAAGGTGGCCATCTACAAGCCAGGAATAAAATTCTGACCGTTAGAATCTAACCAGAACCCAACATCCTGGCATCCTGATCTCAAACTTCCAGCTTCCAGAACTGTGAGAAAATAAATTTCTGTTGTGTAAGCCACTAAGCCTATGGTATTTTGTGACGGCAGCTGAGGCTGATTAAAACAGTCAGTACATCTAGAGCAGTGCACTAACTAGATCTCTCTATGGTTTGTTTGGGGTTTTTTTTTTTTTTTTTTTTCAAATACGCAGTGATATTCACTGCTGTAATAACAGACGAATTTATTTTTAAATGTCAAAAATTCAAAGTAGTTTTACCATTGTGTATTCCATTAATTAATTTTGGAGACAGTAACTATCACTTATGTAGTTCATAAAAAAATTGGCTTGAAAGTATTTGGATCCACTGACTTAGAATAGGGGGGACTTTTTTAAAAATCAAGTAAACACCATATATCTAATCTTCTAGCATTGAATTTCCTCTTTTATGAGATACCAACCATTGTAGAATATAACCTCAATTTAATAACAGCTTTTCAAAAGAAAAAATAAGTTAGACAATGGGAAGAGAACATATCCATTTTAAGATGGCCTCAGTTTCTGAAATGTTCAAATATTTTGTGTGTTTGAATCCATAGTATCAAAATTCAAGATATTAAATTACCTTTAACTTCATCAAATGGAACTGAATTATCAGTTGAACTTCCAAATATTCTAAAAAAATTTGCCTTTTACACTTTTGAAAGACAGACAAGGCATCTGAATCAGTTCCAAGTCAAATCATGCTAGTTCCTCATGACAAAAGTGGCTCTCTGAATCTGAATAGAGCAGGTAGCCAAGGGGATAGAAGCAGCTAAATTAAGGTGGACCTCAGGCTGAGATAAACTTAACAACAAAACTCACTTCAACATCACATATAATGGTCAATAAATGCAAATATAACAATTAAATTCACTTTACTTTTAAATATCATTTAGATAAATATTCTCCCTGAAACAGAATATTCTATTAATTAAAAGTAAATATGCAATTAATAGTAAATAATTCACTTACCTTTACTACTCCTCCTGGAAATAATCTAATAAAACAAGAAAAAGTAAAGTTTGTATTTAAAAAACAACAAACAAACATTATAAACTATCATGTTAATACATTAATGCTGATATTTCTCTACCAGGCAGAACTGACTTTAAATACAGCAGAAAAAAAATTTAGAAAAATTCTATTTGATCTTCACGTTATTAAAATCAGCATTTCACTCTCAATCAGGTGGATAATATACTAGTATGTATGAAAATAAAATACCTCATCTTTTTATAACATTGATTATCTATATTAATGCTTATTTCTATTAAACATAATATTCTAATAATAACATTTTTAGTAAAACCCACATGTTAGAAATAACTCAAAGATTCCTGCAAATTACCAATGTTATCTGTTCAGTGAAGCATCCCCCCCATCCTTACCAGCACTGTGTCAAAGAAATCTTCTGTGAGATTAGTCAGGGATTTGTCTGAAGCTAGATGATCTTCCATGGTCAGAAGTTCTACTGTTCTTTTAAACCAGGTAGCCATGTACACAAGAAGAAGAAACAAAGATGGAACTCCCATGACTACATCACTACTCCCTATTCAATAAAATTTCATAAGCTAATTCTTTCACTAGAGCAAATAATTGAAAGACCTCTAACCCAGCCATCAGTTCCATTGGGCCTGGCTCTGAAGCCTCCATTTAGAACACTGTAAAATGCTATCATACTGCTACTGAGCTGCAGCAAGTTCTCAGATACCAGCAAGAATGGTTAGACGTGGCCTAGCCGGTAGCAATGCCAGAAAGGCACGTGAAGGGACTGTGATAAACGAGCCTCCTGGCACAGGAGGAGTTCCTTCTGGGATGCAGAATTTGGTACGTGCTCCAGAAGTACACATAGTACAGTCACTGTGCCTACATCTGGCTACATTTCTTTTGCCTTTCTTTTCCAGCTACTTGGAGATTTTTCTTTTCTACAGGGATATATATCCATATTAAATTGCTAGAATTGGTATGATTTAAAATAAACTTCTACAAACCCTCCTACAACATAATTATTTAATTAAGCAAAGGCCATTTTCACTCTTACAAAAAAAAAAAAAAAAAAAAGGAAAATAGTTAGAAGCTATCAGTTGAACATGAGCTCATGATGAACAATTCTTATAGGAGTGGGGCTTGGAAGCTGTCCAATTTGGAGCCAAGAACACAAGGCACATCAGCTGAAGACCATGAACAAATCAATCAGCTCTCACCGTTGGCTGCACATTAGGGGAAATACAGGCAGGCCTGGGATCCATCTCAGACCCAGTAAACCCAAATCTCTGGTGATGGGACCCAGGCAGTGCCTGCTAAAGTTCTCCAGCATTTTTTTTATTATTATAATTGATTTTAGAGAGGAAGGGAGAGAGAAAGAGAGAAATATTAATAATGAGAGAGGATCATTGATTGGATGCCTCCTGCACGCCCCCTACTGGTGATCTAGCCCACAACCCGGCACATGCCTTTGACTGGAATCTAACCCGGAATGCTTCAGTCCACAGGCCGCGCTCCATCCATTGAGCCAAACCAGCTAGGGCTCCAGCATTTCTAATACTGGGTTCCAACTAACGTTTCTTTTATCTCAACCAGACAAATGTTTGCATTAGATTAGATCATCCACCTCCTTGAAGCACTTTTCTCCAGCAGTCAGAGGAAAAAAACACGTCTCCAAACAGAACTCACTGCTAAGGCATAATTTCTCTCTCCCTATATCCGTACTCAAAAGTATATGCTTTTAAATACATTTTGCTCATTGTTCTATTTATTCCCCAAACCCTCTCCCTCTCCCAGTGCATTAGAATATATTGGTTGAGTAGAGATACAGAGAAGTAGGGAAAATGCCACATTATTTGATCAGGACTTAGGACCAGGAAGTCACTCATGAACCCATTTATATGCCATGATCATGCATAGTCTAACAAGTAGCACTAATTGCCTCCACAGCAGTGTCATTCCCAGAAATCCAGACAAAATAGTTATTTACAGATGCAATAGCTACTACTCATTAAGTACATGAAATAGAACAGGTTGCTTAATCCTCTTGGATCTTAGGGTATAGGACTAAGTACATTCCTTTCTGTAGGAAATTCTTATTCTGTGTAGAGTAACATTCCGGCACATTTTTTATTAACCTGCAAACACTATTAGCTTTATAAGTACAGAATCTAATATCCCATCTACTTTGATAATATCAGTGCATTCTTCTTGGGCAAACCTTACAGCACATGCTTTAAAAAATTACCAATCAAGATCCCAATGGAATAAGAAATTTCTATTTTATTTCAAAATGCCAGTGTAGATTTGTTCTGTCACTTTAAACCTTTGGGAGAGTATCTTACATCAAAATAGAAAATTCAAGTTGGGGCAGATGGCAACTCATCCCCCCAACAACCAGCTTTAGGTTCCAAGGTACCCCTGGGAAAGTCCTGCTCCATTTCCTTTGAAGTTTTAACTTCTCTCCCCTACTTCTTGTTTCTTCCTGAGTGTGTATCAGGGAGGTAGGTGAGGCTAAATGCAAAAGGAGCCCTGACTGGTTTGGCTCAGTGGACAGAGCAGTAGGCTCATGGACTGAAGGGTCTTGGGTTTGGTTCAGGTCAGGGGCAGGTACCTGGGTTGCAGGCTCTTGCTGGAGGCAACTAATCCATGTGTCTCTCACACATTTATGTTTCTCTCTCTATCTCTCTCCCTCCCTTTCATTCTCTCTAAAGTAGCAATGGAAGAATGTCCTCAGGTGAGGATTAACTACAAAATAAATGCAAAATGAAATACATACAGTTTGTATAAGAACAATCCTTAGTCCTTCACCCCCACCTCCATCCCCATCTCCATCCCCATCCCCATCCCCATCCCCCCAGAGGGCTTAGGCTTAGGAAACGCCTGATGTTTACTCTTTCTCCCCTAGACGCTGGCCACTGGGAGGCAGAGACAGATCTCTTTGACCCAACCAGATCTTAACAAATTTCAGGCAGTCCAGTCCATGGGGGTAAACCAAAGGTATCATTACCAGCCAGATCACCCTTCTACACCTTTATCTCCTGCCATCTCCTCACCAATAAATAAATTGTCCAGGGCTGCAAAATCTCATCATGAGAAGGGAACTCTGCTTTGCTTCCAGATGCCATTATAAGGTACCCATAATGTTACCTTCTATTATATTAATCAAAACGCAGAATAGAATTTCATAATTGAGATGACTTAGAATAAGCAAAAAAGGTTTTTGCCAATTTTTTTCTGCTTTAACTGGGGTTTTTAGGAAGTTGGAAAAGTAAGCTGTGGCAAGGGGAAGTATTTGATAACTTATCTAGGTCCAATCTTGTTACTAACAACTATTAAGACACTTTTAGAGCCTTTGGTTGGCAAGAAGTGTGGAATAGTCTACTCTTCTCATCCTATATTCCTGAGTCAAATTCACTAAAATAATAAAAACATGTGATCACTGCATTGGTTTGTCAAGGAGAAGGAGGTGGTGTCTGACTCCTTGATGTAGGCTCCCAAAGTGCCCTGTCCAGCACCTCCATCAGGAAACATATGTTGAACTCAAGTTTTGATTGGATATCTATAATAATAAAAGGGTCATATGCTAATTAGACCAGACATCCTTCCTAGCGACCTTCTGGTTGAAGCCCAGACTATGTGGAAAGCCAGGTTCCTGGGAGCCAGAGGGAAGCCAGGGTAGCAGCTGGGGGAAGGAAGGCCTACTCTTACACAAATTTTGTGCATGGGGCCTCTAGTGGGCAATAAACTTTGTTACCAATTTCTTTTCATATTTGATTTTAAAGGTACAGAAAATGCCAGACTTAATGAGATAACTTAGTTCTTTAGTTCTTTAAGTTCCCCAAAGCCGTACAAAATTAAAACAGGACACTTATCTTTGGGATCAGTCCCTGCTGAATTAGCAAAGGCTCATCTTCTTTGAGGCCATCAATAAAGAACCGCTGAATACACATTAGCAACAGTGAAACATAGTGAAATTCATTTTTATCCAGTTCCTAGGTATGAGATCACACTAAGTTAGAAAAAAAGTCTTACTGTGAAAGTTAAGAGGATAGATTCTAAGCGTTCCCATCACAAAGAAAAATATATTTTTTTAATTTTCTCTTATTTTGTATTATATGAGATGACAAACAACTAAAATTATTGTGGCAATCATTTCTCACCCATATGTAAGTAAAATCACTCTACCATATCCCTTAAAATTATACAGTGCTGTACGTCAATTACTTTTAAATAAAACTGAAGTGAAAGCCTGACAAAGAATCATTACACACTGGTATTCTGGTCAGATAACAAAACAACTTACTTGCCTTATTTATAGATTTGTCAAGATGGTATAATTTAAGATGATTATATTTTTGAGGAATGTGGCTCCCTCTTTGTTGAAAATATTCTTTTATTTTCTGAAATCCTTTACCATGGAATGCATCAATAATAAGTGATTGAAGCTGAAAAGTTGATAGTTTGCAAATTACTTTTTTTAAAAAAAAATTAATTTTGTAGTAACATTTGTAACTAGTATTCTCAACAATAATTCAGTGTGGAAATAATAAAAGGTAAATGTAAGATAGAGAGTTGTATCTTGAGCAGTAGTCATGTAGCCAGTGAACAAGTTGCTTAAGACAGTACAGGCCCATCTCCGAGATATTGCAGGCTCCGTTCCAGTCCACCCCAATGAAGCAAGTATCACAACAAAGCCAGTTGTAACCTTCCTACTGGTAGAAGGCCCTCCCTTAGTTTGTAAAAAATGCAACACCTGTGAAGTGCAATAAAGCAAAGCAATATACAATGCTTTGTATATGCCTACAGTTTCCAAATGTGGTTCCTGGACCACTGGTAGCATGGGCATCACCTGAGACTTATTAGGAATCAGGAACGCTGAGGGTGCTGTTCAGGTGATTATCATTAGGCTAAAGTTTGAGAACCACTGACTTAAGAGAAATTGCACTTGAGTTACAGATATCTGAGGGTGGAGAGTGTTAATTATCACTAATGTTGGAAATTCTAAAACACTAAAAAACTCAAGCCTAATATCACCGAAGAGACATGAATGATCATGAAGGAAAATTACTTCAACACTAATAGTGACAGATAATGAAAGCTGATAAACATGTAAATTTCCAGGATGAAACGGGTGTGTTTTTTTTTAACATTAGCCAAGACATACTTCAAAGTATATACTTGAATAATACTCTTACTTAATATCTGTGCTACAGATGTGATTTTATTTTTAAAAATCCAATCCAATCTTGCAGATTAAATTATAACATGTAATGTTATTTTAATAAGGAGACATTTTACCATATCCTGCCCAAAATTGCACTTATCCTCAGTACAGATTTAAATGGAGGGACAGCATTTGAAATTAAATATTTAAACATTATTTTCTTTAATGAAAGTGAACCTTTTTGTGCCAAGTGTGTTAAGGGTTCTGCAGGTGTTCCCATTTAATCTTCTCCAGCACTCTGAGAGCCCGGTTCTTTATTGGGGGGGGGGGGGGGGGGAGGTAATA